CTTGACAGTCAATGTGATAAGTACACATTATCCAACAACTAACTGACGATTTATGCTTGTGTGATGAAACTTGTTTCCTGGATTTCACACCCTACAATTATCTAAATGTTGATCAACAAAATTATAACTGATGGCTCTATTGAAGTAATGCATACTGGATGCATATTTCTCAACAAGGAATCAGAAACACTTGCTCTCAACATCAACAATGAAAGCCTACGATCCTTTAGTAATTATCCAATCATGCTACACAATTTTCAACAGATTACATTTCATCATTCAAACTGTTTCCATCGATATGTTTCCGGGCATTAGTATTAAACTACGCTTCTATTCATTGTTGAATGTCCTCAAGGAGACAAAGCATTGTACTAACATCTGATTGAATATCGTCAACGCATACAATGTCTTGCTTTATGTACTGAGGGAACAATAAAAATCATTACTTATTCGTAGAAATAAATAGTTCGTCTGAGTAAACAGATTCACAATGTGGAATGTGGCAATATTAAAAAAACAACCAGTGAAGTCGTCCAATTACTTACTTTAAGCTGGCAACATTTAATTTGAATTCACGAACATTCTTATCACTGCCAGTAGTACACATCGTGGCATTGTCACACCAAATACACTTCGTATTCGATGTTGATGCATTTCACATGCTTTTGTCGTATTGTGTTTTGGACAGTCTTCAGTGAAAAGAATAGAGTGAATAAATCTCAAGTTAATAGACAAAAGATAAGTGAATTACAAGACATGTAACTATTACTCAATGATATGATGGTGATTTCGGAGTTGAGTGACTATTTCATTCACCGGGAATTTTTCATCACCTTGCGTATTGCAAAATTCAGTAATTTGGTACTTGTTATAACTCTCTCTTTCTTACGGTTATGACCGAGCTATTCCTATTGCTTAGTATTCTCGGACACCGATTCACTCGACAAGTCCCCAAATCAGAACACGGGTGAACAGGAAAGAGATTATATTCCAAATAACAAGGTTAGATGGAAGTAAGAAGCAATTCAGAAGCACAATAGGGAAAAACGTCAGTATATTTATAGTTTTTACATAAGAAGATTCCATAGTATTCTCCAACTATCGACTAGTGCTGATTGGATAAGAATTAGCCAATCAGCGTGCACCAAAGCAATCATGCATTGAGCATGCTTTAATCTAGTCTATGTCCCGCTAACACCTCCCCTCTGAGCAGATTCGTAGGATCTGGTGCTAGGGTCCAACTGCAACCGAGTGACTGGCCTGTGCTTTCGATTAGTCCATCGTCTAGGCAATAGAGAAGTATCACTCTTTTCTTGCACAGAAACTGACGTGTCTATTCCCGGCGTTTTGATTTCAAAGGTGTCTAGCAGAACATCAAGAGGTAATCGATATTGAATCTTGTTGCTGGCTATCGAAGTTGCTTTCAATTGGTTAGCATGACGTACCCAAACTTCCGAGCCAACTGACACCTCGTAAACCACACTCCCCTTCTTTTTCAAGATCCGACCAGCTGTCCATGTAGGATGTTTCCCACGATAGTCCATAGCAAGCACTTTTTGTCCCACCGTGAACAATCGTCTTTGTGCCCCATGATGTCGGTTGAACTGATTCTCCATCGATAGGTTTCGTTGGGGTTCAATAGCTGGCGTAGGACGGATGACATCGAAATGTGTTCGTATCTTTCTTTTCGGTTTTCCTAGTAACCTATCACCTGTCTTCTTTGGAAGTACTGGGGTGTCCAATGATGAACGCGATACGTTACAGACACTGTTAATTGGTACATCCATTATTCCAAGTTTGTCTAACATATCTAGACCAAGAAGATCAAGGTTCGGCCGTTCTGTTAGGTAACATATTCCTGTACAGTTAGTTCCATTGAAGGAAAATTCACACTGTAATTCACCAACCAGTTTTAGCACACCACCTGATGCGTTTTTAGCCGTTTTCTTAGATGGCTTCATTGGCGGTTTACCCAGCAAGTTATACGTTTCTCTAGACACTAACGTGATATCTGATGCCGTGTCAATTTGAAGACGAGCTGATATGCCGTTTATCTGGATGGTAACATACTTTCTCCGAATGTCATAGTTTGTTTGAAAGGCAGCTACCAAAGAAAGAGATTTGGACTCGGCTGATTTCACATGTCGAGGACGTTTATGCTTCTTCTTAGGCTGAGACGTACGCTTCGGTGGACAATGACCTTCTTTATGTCCACGTTTGTTGCACGCCTGACATTTATGCTTCTTGAACGGACAGAATCGTGCATAATGCCAATCACCGCATAACCAGCATGCAGTCCTTGGTTTGTTACGAGTTGTTACCGGCTTCTGAACTTTTAACCTAGTAATAGTATTTACACTACCGCAGGTTAAATTAGGATTTACCTGTTCAATCAACTCGTTGTCGTGTCTGATGCTTTGTAGACGCTTACACTCATCTGTCAATGTTCTGAGTGTGACGTTTGGGTCTTGATCCAGTCGAGCTAAAAGTCTAGTCCTGATCTCAGCATCTTGTGGTGACTGAAGAGCTTTGATGAATATTAAGCATTTAAATTGGTCATCAGTCAACGAGCGTAACTTGAAACGTTCACATCCGTAGGTTACTAGTATTTGATCATAGGTGTCTTCGAAACATTGCTCATATATCATGGGACCATCGAGTAAGTAACACAGTTGTTAGGAAACGGGTACTAGGTAAGGATGGCAAATCAATTGATGAAGTAGTGAAACTTCATCAGTTGAGATGGCTGGGACATGTGTTACGTATGCCCAACGACCGACTACCTCGACGTGCTATGTTCAGTGGTATAGGAGTAGGTTGGAAGAAAGCTAGGGGCGGCCAAACCAAAACATGGCACAAGTCCATGAAGTCACTGACAAGTGGACTGAGCCATGTTGGTAGGTGTGGACTACCTGGTTGGGGACCGCGAGATGACAGCAACCGATGGTTAGAGACCCTGAATGACATGGCTCAAAATCGTTTGCAATGGCGCAGGTGCATCCACTCTCTGTTTTCTCCCAAATTCTAATCTTCTGAATCCTTCATGTCCCTTTTTTCCTCTTTCCAAATTTCTTTCACTGGATTATACTCTTTAAATAACATCTCCAAACCCTAATCTTCCCGATTACTGTTTATACTCTTATTACCTCTACCACTACGGGATTTGAATCGACAAGTGCATCTCTGTGCTAATGTGGTGTGGCAACTCGAACTGATGTACGTACGTACGAAGTTCTACGTTGTTACTGACTGACTGACTGACTCTGTTGACGATGTCTGCTAGAACACCATATTCATCAGCTTCGCGTTTCACCAAATTTAGACACCGATATCGAATACTAAACAACGAGGATGACTCGCCGAATATCTCTGACAACTGAAATACCGTCTCCTCGAAACTGAGCTCTCGAGGTAACTTTGGCAATATATGGTCAGCAAAACATGCATGTTCATTGCTTCCCAACTTACGTACCAACAATCGGGTCTTCCACGCATCGTCTTGGTTACAGAATTCTGTTCTAAATGTATCTTCCCAACGTCTGAACCACGTGAGAAAAGTATTTCCACTTTCGGGATCATAGATGAATTCTGAGATGCTGGTAGCAACTGCATCACAAGACGAACTTGAAATAGCGTGTGAACTCGAGCTGTGGATGTTGAGCTGTTGAGTCAGAGTCTCCAACAACCGCATTTGTGCATCAAGTTGTGCTTGCTGTTGTTGTAGTATTCGGTTAAGCTGGTCATCTGATATGGGCATCTTGAATTTGTTTTCCTTTTTCCCCGTCGCCACTGTTATAAATCGCTTCTTCTTACAGTTATGACCAGCTATTCCTATTGCTTAGTATTCTCGGACACCGATTCACTCGACAAGTCCCCAAATCAGAACACGGGTGAACAGGAAAGAGATTATATTCCAAGTAGCAAGTCAGAAGCACAATAGAGAAAACGTCAGTATATTTATAGTTTTTTACATGAGAGGATTCTAGAGTATTCTCCAACTATCGACTAGTGCTGATTGGATAAGAATTAGCCAATCAGCGTGCACCAAAGCAATCATGCATTGAGCATGCTTTAATCTAGTCTATGTTCCGCTAACAGCACTATTTGCATTTTTCATCACTTCCTACAATTACTGTTATCGCCTGTAAAATTGTCGTTTAGAATGCATAACCTTTGACCTTCCATCCCGATTTGTAAACAAACATAACGTAAACCATTGGCCATCGCTCACAAATACTCTGCTGCACACATGGGGTGTGTCTAGTTTCTGGACAGATCAATCTGTCCATTCTTCTTTAACCACATTTTAACCTTGTCACTTACTTATTGGTTTATTTATTCTGACTGTTTTCGGATGAGCGTATATGTGTTGACTGCTTATCCCATTCACCATATGCTTGTAACTTGTTTTTGGTCAGACTATATAAATATTGAGTAACGCTTGATTAAATTTAGTTGGCTCACATGCCTCACATGACTCTTTCCACCCTCGACCGTATTAGGGTATTTGAAGGCTAATAATAGGAACAAATATTACAACTTAAATTGATATACATTTTCATCAAACCGTACATTATTATTTTCTTTGTCTTCTATATGTATATTATGCATGACAATGTTAACAAATTATCAGTTTATGGGTTGTGGAGATTGTTAAGATTTTTGATCGGGATCATAAACCGATTGGTGTTGAGGTTGATGTTAGACATTAACACCATTGGATGCCGGCTCAATTGTCCAATAGGTTAAGCATTCGCGTGCGAGACCGAAGGCCCTGGGTTCGAATCCCGCCAGCGGGATCATGGATGCTCATTGATGAGGAGTCTCACAACAGGACGAAACGGCCGTCCAGTGCTTCCAGGTTTTCATTAGTGGTCTAACATCAATCGGTTCATAATCTCAATCAAAAAACTTAACAAATTATCATTGAACTTATTGAAAGGTGGATCTATTAATTTTCGCTTATTTTATTTTATTTTTTAATTTTTATTATTTGATAGTCTACTTATTTAGAATGTCAACTTATGTTATGTAATCGTGAAAAATATCAAGATTATATTCGTATTCTAGAAGGTTTACTTTCTTCTGGTATAAATAAAAATGTTAATAAAACAAAATCATTATTTAAAAATTATATAACAAACTATTATTGTTTAAGACAAATACAAATTGAAGAGCTATCTGATAATGATCGACAAAAAACTTCATTAGAATCTATTGGAATAATTCGAAATTTATTCGTTGGTCTACATGTTATAGCACCTTGTGATTGGCGTGCATCAAAAGTGTATTCATCATCTTATGAAAATGAAAATATTATATATTTAGGTAAATTTTATTATTATTATTATTATTATTATTATTATTTCAATAGTTGAGATCATGAGTCATTTGAAGCTAGATCACCATAGAAAACCTGAAAGCATTGAACGGCTGTCTCATCCTATTGTGAGACTGCTCAACAGTGCACATTTACAATCCCGCTTCGCAAGTTTCGAACCAAGGACCTATCAGTCTCGCGCGCGTATGCTTAAACTTGTGACCATTGAACCGGCCAGTATCCAAATGGTATTAATGTCTAACTTCAACTAATCCACGAAATTGAGCGATAAATCCACCATTGTCATCAGTGAGTTAATATCTTACAACTGATTCGGTTGAACTCCATTGGTCACTGTTTCTCACTAGAACTCCAAGATATACATGTTGAAGCTAGTCACTAATAAGCATATGTTGATTAGTATCAGAAGGGGTTTTATGGCTATTATATTAATTTCAATAGTTGAGATCATGAGTCAATTGAATCTAGACCACCATGGAAAACTTGAAAGCACTGGACGGCTGACCGTTTCGTTCTATTGTGGAACTTCTCAGCAGTGCGCGTCCACGACTCCACCTTGTGGAATTCGAACCCAGGACCTATTATTATGAGTAATATTGTATAAATAAACCCAATAGCTTAGTGGATGCTCGGTTAAAGTCTTAATGTAAACATTAGCATTAGGTTGGAAGTATATCCGACTGAAGAGTCCTAAATAGGACGAAACGTTCGTTCTAAATTCCACTGTTGATTGTTATCCAACTTTAGCAAATACTTGTGATTACATGTCACCATTAAGGCAGTTGGCTCAGGATACTTCGGGAATTGTCTTGGTAATGTCATCTTGTTGTATTAAGTTGATATGGCTGTTTGAGTTAATGTACTTACTTACCGATTTTCATCTTGCTCATTACTGACTGGTGCAGATTGAGACTGATCAATTCATCTTTAACATCAGCAACGGAATAGTACAAATTATTAGCGGTAGTTTCTCTGCCAGGAGAAAATCTATGGATATAAATTCACTCGCAACGATTGATTACTAATTTCTGAGTGTTTTGTAGGTCTGAAAGAGACCTCTATATATGTATGTGTTTATATGTGAGAAGTGATAGAGCTGTACGCGTATATGTTGGACATTAGTGATAATTCTCATAAATTTTTTTGACTTATAATATTTCCCCAACTCTGATTTTATACTTTGACCATATATTTTCGTCCATTAGGCTATGAGGTATATGAAGGGGTAGTGAGGCTAACTAACTATCTACCTAAATTAAAATAAGTAGAGTGAATCATATTTGTTTTTATAGTTGAAAGCTTGGTGATTTTCAGTACTAAACTACTGAACATTTCATTTAATCTAGTCTGGCTCAATTTGTTTACGTTACGAAGATGAACTTCCTAAGTTGTGTGTCACAATCATTAGGGGTGAGAGTTTTTTTGGAAATATGATTGCCTTCGTAATGACATCGGTGTATTATGTAAATACATTTCAGATGTATATCTTGTTTTCATCATTTCACTACAGATACAATTGAATCAGCACGTTCAATTGGTGATTATTGGATTCGTTTAGAAAGATTATTGCCATCTTCATCATTGTCACCGATGCCATCGTCTTCACCGACATTAAATTCTATCCAATCATCATCTATTAAACAATCCAATGAATTATCAACACCCAATAGTTCACTATTAAATGATGAAATATTTATTTATTTCGATCCTGGAATGAGTGATGCATTGGAGAAACGACAACTATGGTTGAATGCAATAGAGTTAGCTTAAAATTGGAACATCATAGACGACGTATAGGTTATCATCATCAATCAAATACACATTTTCACGAGAATTCAGACTCCACTGGAAGTAATAAACTAGATTTATTTAACAAATCCAACGATACAGATTCAGTACGCAGTGCCTTACAACGGGTAGGTTGGTTTTCATCCTGAGCGTATAACCTCGATGTAGATTTTTAGTTACAAGTTTTAATGTAGCAGTGGAACTCTGCATGCATGTTTCATCTTATTACAAACCCTTACCACTATATTCATACCTATTGAGCAAGTATGTAGTAGCTTAATGGATAATGCTTTGACGTATAAGACGATGAACACTTGACTAGAGTCAGATTGTGAACATCAATACTGGAGTAGAGGTAAATCCGATTGACAAGTATCAAATAGGACTTAATGCACGTACTAGACTGCACTAATAAGTACAGTCCAAATATTCTAAAACTTTTATAGAAATTCATCACTACACGAGCCTCGTTTTCTAGTGGATGATACAATAGGTGACAAATCAAAATCTTCCTTTTATCAGCCACTCCTCGAGCCTTTAACCTACAGGTTTAATCTACAAGGCAGTGGAGCAACGTCAAGAGATGCAGTCCCATGGTAGCCGATGACCAACAATTGGTTCATACGCCATTTGTTTGCTTAGGATCCTGTAGTCAGCCCATGTGCACCATTGGTTTTGAATAAGTGGTTTCCAACCCACCGAGTTGGATTCTCCATATCTACCAACCCGGTTGAAGCACCGGGCATTCGTTTTTCATGTTTTCAATTTCTTAGACAACACCCGTGGTGCGAAAATGCAGTGAGTAGGACTTCTGTGGTAGTAACTGTGGCTATTTGAGAGCATTTGGAGGGGGAGAGTTGACTCTCCGCCTATACTCAAATGATCAGAATGCAGATATACACATGATTTTGATGTATATTGTTCACAAATCTGGCTTTCGACTACTACTAGACTGAAAGTTTGAATCCTACAACACTTTAGTTAGGACAACGAGACACTATCTCAAGCCATCATATTTAAAATGTAACTTAAAGCTAAGTACACGCACTTATCTTTAGTTAAAAGGTGAAATTATTGAAATCAATGGTTAACTTTTATTGTATGCTTAAGTTGTAAAACAACTAATATTCTATTTACTAAAATATTTCAAGTAAACAGTTCCAATCGCCAATCCACATAGTTATCAGTAGTAGTATTATTCACTGTAACTAAACTTTCGAATGGATGTTTGCGGTTAAACTATTTTGTAACGTGAATTCTGGCCAGCGGTATTTTGCTGTTGTGATATTCCACCTGAATGGAGTTTAGGCTGAGACAAAAATTAGTTGTAGTGTTATAACATTATTTTTATGATCTAGTAAATATTTGTTTAGTTATGATTATGGTGTTGAGAAGTTTTGGAAGTCCAAGAGATAGTAGATTCATTCTAGTTACTAGTGTTCAGTATTCATGAGCAATAGCCTTAACGTATGGAGTTTTATCAGCATTCTAGCAGTTGTCACAGTTTCAAGTTGAAATCGTTACCTATTCAATATTGTATTAATGTAGCAATCATTGTATGATGTAAAGTATTTCCAAGTTCTATAACCTACGCTTAGCACCTCAGCATAGTGGACGGGGACTCGAGTCATCACAGAGCATCACCTCTCTCAAGATTACAAAGTATTTCATATCAACGAGTACTAACTAGTATGAAACTTAAGTCGAGGACGGTTTCTTGCTGGCTACCACCAACTGATTACCAAATAATTTTACAACTTCATAATCTAATTCTTTTCTATGTAACTGAAACCAACATGCACACAATGCCTTTGAAGCAAACTTACTCCTGACCGAAAAAGTGTGTTTGATTATGATTAACTTTTGAAGAATTCATTTCTTCCATAAACGTATTGTATACGATTTATTTTGTTTGTTTTTTTCTTGAACATATTTTCTTCTTACTTGTAAACTCTCTTTGTAAAACAAGTATGCTCAAGAAACAGAATTATTTGTAATGCGTCAACGTCAAAAAGATCGAATCAAATTAATCACATTGTTCCCAGAAGTTCGAGTAAGTTTACTCATATGGTTTTTGTTATAAATTGTGGGTTTGTTTCCCGTATTAATGATACCGTCAATTAAAGAACAGTGAATTATCGACCAAACCAATGACGCATAAAACAAGTACGAGCACTCTAGAGTACTTATCGGTCTTGCTTCCCGCCTAACCCTGGTTGTTAAGTGTAGAACACCAATCTCAGTTTCTGTGATATGAATCCTGTAATTCAAACATGTTGGGTTTATATATACCAACCAAACAGGCCACATCGTACCATAAAATAGGAAATACACATTCATACGAGGTTTAGCCAAACGTGGCTGTGAATGTGGGAGATAGTCATTGATAGACAGAGGATAACTCAAGAATGGTAAATTGTATAATAATAGTTCATAGACGAAAACAAAGCTTATAATAAGAGGAACACGAATATAAATAGTTTAATTACTTAACAATTATACAATAGTATTAATCCATCAATGGATCCCAAAAGTTACTATTCATTATTCTCATCTGGATATAACAGTTTTGTTTTTCTTACTCATCAGTTGTTGTGTTATGTAATTCTACTCAAATTTTGCTGTGTGTTTTTTGTGGTGATATAAAGAACTATTATTACTTATAATTCCTAGTAAAGGTTTGGACTGTTAATATTCAAGAGACTGACGTTTGATCGATATTTAGTAGCAACAAACCCAAGGTCCGAAGGCGAAGTCGTACTGCTGACTGTACAGAGGTGTGACAGCAGTAAAGTGTTTCCTTCAGACAACCAGCATGACAGCGATGCTGCCTTCCCACAAGGAGGGTTGGCGTTAGAAAAGGTCGACCCTAAAAATGCACACCTCGCCTTATCCCACGGATATCCGTCTCCGGCGGTAAGGTCTCAACAAGTACAGAGCTAACACGAAAACGACTCACGAAGAGGTCGCGTGTGACCGACCTCAAGCAGTTGTCCCTTGGGCACTGCGGCCACGCTCCTAGGTCACTAAGACCACCTCTAATCCAATTTCCTTTTCAGGTACCTCCAGAAGAACCCTCCCACGGTGTGGGCAACCGGGAAGTGATAACCGCCCTCATACCTCTAACAGCACTCAAGACCACTGTATTCATAATCAACCTTCCTCTTCAATTCCTATTACTCCTCCTACATCGACTTTCAACTCTAAATTTCCTCTTTCGGCTTCCTCCTCAAGTGTCACCATAGCCAACGATTCTAGTGCTCAAAACACTGTCCCAGGTCTACTGAAACCTCGCTCCACACTACACATTGGAGCCTTCAACGTACGAACCCTATGTCAAATCGGTCAGCAGGCTTCCTTGGCTAAAACCCTAGAGTCTCTTTCCATTGATGTATGCTGTGTCTCCGAAACACGCATACAGGATTCCAGTGTGGTCATTCACTTGACCTCACCTCGGCAAAACGGAGAGTCAACGAGATACACCCTCCGTGTATCTGGTGACCCGATGGCCAATTCTCGTGGACTGGCAGGTGTAGGCATAGCGCTAAGCATGAGGGGCGAACAAGCACTGCTAGAGTGGATCCCCGTTAACAGTCGTTTATGTGCTGTTCAGCTAAACGGCTCCGCAAGAACTCAGAAGGATAGGGACACACGTCGTTGCCTTTTTACCGTTTCTGCTTACACTCCCACTGACTGCAGCTCGGATGAAGTGAAAGATGAATTTTACGGAACGTTCAAACGTAGTACTCTTAGCAGGTGACTCTAATGCTCAGTTAGGTAGCTTAAACCAAAGAGAAAGACATTTAGGTGGGTATTTTGGTATTCTGTCTCAGTGAACAGATAACAGTGATCGTCTGTTGCGACCGTGCCCAGACAATCGTTTGTTGTTAACAAGCACTAATTTTAAGCATAAGGAGATACATCGTCTAACATGGCGACCCCCTGCACCAAACCAACGATGGACTCAAATAGACCATATTGCCATCAGTCATCGTTGGAGAGGGTCGGTAGAAGGTTGTCGCTCATTCTGGAGTACCTGCTTGGACTCCGACCATGCCCTAATACGGGCACGCATCTGCTTGCGCCTCACTGGACGCAAAAAAGCCGCACAAAAAGGACCCATTAGAACTGAATTGAGTAACGAGAAAACCAAAAGTAGGTTCCAGGAACAACTGAGGTCACACTTAGGTAGTTCTGAAAACGAGGCTGACCCAGATGTTGCTTGGAAAGCTATACAAACAGCTGTGGAAACAGCAGTGACATCTATTAGTGACTTAAACCACAGAGTTACAAAGAACCAGTGGATTTCTTCAAAGTCTATCACACTGATGGATTCTCGCAAACTCGTCCCATCAGGTTCCGAACATGATGAAGAGCGACAACAAATCAGATCTAGGTTAAGAAAAAGTCTAAGGAACGACCGTGAGCAGTGGTGGGCAACGAAAGCAAAAGAGATGGAAAAGGCGGCGACTATAGGGAACACAAGACAGCTTTACAGACTAATAAAAGAAACTGGAATTAATAAGTCAAGTGTAAGTGAGAATATTTCGGAAAAAGACGACACTCATCTGCTCCCAGTCCAGACGTTTAGAACGATGGGCGGAACACATTAGAGAACAGTTCAGCTGGCCTTCAGCTACTCTACAACTACCCTCCATTCCCAGACAGTGTGAATGGAACATTGAAGTAGGTCCCCCAACTCTAGCTGAAGTTCGAAAGGCTATAGTTAATCTGAAACGAGGAAGGGCAGCTGGTCCAGATGGATTGGCTCCAGAGGTCTTTAAGGATGGTGGTCCAATTTTAGCGATTAGGTTGACTAATATTTTAGCTAAGATCTGGGAGTTAGACGTTATTCCATCTGACTGGTCACAATCACTTATCGTCCCAATATATAAGAAAGGGTCAAAATCATCCTGTGACAACCACAGAGGGATTAGTTTAACTAATATAGTATCTAAAATACTAGCCTCGATAATTATTGGACGCCTAACTAAGACTCGTGAACTGCAAACACGAGAAAATCAGGCTGGCTTCAGACCTGGTCGTGGCTGCATCGACCACATATTCACCATTCGTCAGGTTCTAGAACACAGGCATACTTATCGGCGTCCGACAATGGTGGTCTTTCTTGACTTAAAAGCAGCATTTGACTCTGTAGACCGCGACATTCTGTGGCAGTGTCTGTCATTGAAAGGCGTACCTCAGAAGTACATAAACCTTGTGAAGGCTCTTTACTCGAACACTACTAGTCGAGTCAGACTTATGGCGAACTGTCATCTACTTTTGCAACCTCAAGTGGTGTCCGTCAAGGCTGTCCACTTTCTCCATTTTTGTTTAACTTCATCATAGACCTACTGATGGAAATAACATTCTCGTCGACTGAATTCTCGGGTATTGATCTCCTTCCAGGAGGTCCACTTATCGACTTAGAATACGCAGATGACATAGTCCTGTTTGGTGAAGACGCTGACAAAATGCAGAGTCTTTTGGTAGCACTAAGCAACAATGCCAGAATGTTTGGAATGCGCTTCTCTCCCTCTAAATGCAAGTTGTTGCTTCAGGACTGGTCTGCGTCAACACCTGAACTAAGGATAGGGAGTGAAGTAGTCGAACGCGTTGACAACTTCACTTATCTTGGAAGTCTGATCAGCCCTAATGGGTTGGTGTCTGACGAAATCTCAGCACGGATTCGAAAAGCTCGTTTGGCTTTTGCCAACTTACGTCACCTTTGGCGAAGGCGAGATATCCGTCTATCAATAAAAGGACGAGTATACTGCGCGGCAGTCCGTTCTGTTTTACTTTACGGCAGCGAAACATGGCCTTAAGAGTAGAAGACACTCGTAAGCTACTAGTATTTGACCACAGATGCCTTAGAAATATTGCTGGCGTCTGCTGGGATCACCGGGTAAGTAATAGTGAGGTTAGACGCAGGGTATTAGGGAATGATGGTAAATCAGTTGATGAGGTTGTGAATCTTCATCGACTGAGATGGTTGGGCCACGTGTTACGTATGCCTGAACACCGATTACCACGACGTGCAATGCTAACCGGTGTTGGAGATGGTTGGAAGGAAGTTAGGGGCGGCCAAACCAAAACGTGGCATCAGTCCACGAAGTCACTAACTTCTAGTTTGAGCCATGTTGGTAGATGCAGACTACTTGGTTGGGGTCCGCGTGACTATCGTAACCAATGGTTGGAGACTCTTGGTGAAATGGCTCAGAATCGATCACAATGGTGTAGGTGTATACACTATTTGTCTTTCCTTAAAATATGAGAATAAAATTGTTTTATATCTTTCTTTCTACGAACTAATTGTTTCTTCCTGTAGTATATCCTTATTGCAATCTTTCTTTTATATATTACCACCTCTGAATTAACCACTTATATGAATCCGGTGTCCATCTTGTTGTGGTGATGAGGTATGGCAACTTGGACCGATGCATATATATGCCTGGTCCTACGTTGTGGCTGACTGACCTTTGACATAACCATCTTTACTCTGTAATGACTATACAAAAACCCAAGACCTATCTCCGATATTTTGATTGGTTTGTTACTATCCTTTACTTTCACCCTGTATTTATACTTGAAAGTACAAATACACATAATAAGTCACATTCTTATTGAATGATTTAATCATTTAACTTCCAATTCATTTTCATGTCAAATAGTTTTTATTTATTGAATAGTTTAACAATTTAGACTAAAACTAATGACCTAATTCAATATATTACTGCATTTGTCAAATGCACTAAGTGATTTGTTCTAATTGTCATTCATATGGATAGTTTTAGAGATTATAAAGTGTATAGATGAGAAGGAAGGTGATGAAGTTAAATACACACAGTATTATCCAAAATATCACTTTACTATATATAGTCAAACTACTTAGAATGAAGTGTACCTTTTTTATGATTGCGTTTCTTATGTGCTAAACATCAGTCAGTCAGTCAACAACGTAGAACCTTGTAGGTACGTACAGCAGTTCGAGTTGCCATACTACATTAGCACAGAGATACAATTATCGATTCAAATCTCATAGTGGTAGAGGTAGTAAAAGTACAAACAGTAATCGGAAAGATTAGGGTTCGAAGATGTTATTCAAGGAGTATAATCCAGTGAAATAAATTTGCAGAGAGAAAAAAAAGAAAGGGACATGAAGAATTCAGAAGGTTAGGATTTGGGAGAACACAAAGAGTGTATGCACATGCTCACACCATTTCAAACGATTTCGAGCCATGCCATTCAAGGTTTCTAACTATCGGTTGTTATCGTCTTGCAGATCCCAACCAGGTAGTCTACACCTACTAACATGACTCAGTTCAGTTGTCAGTAGTGACTTCATGGACTTGTGCCATGTTTTGATCTGGAGGTACTAATTACCCTTAGAAGAGACCTTATGGCTGTTTTACCTCACTACATCCTCTAGTATGATTTCTTACGTAAACGTTAAACTGAAAAATTTTCTGCTTTAATCTTAATTACACTTCCATAGATCGATTTAATATCAAATGATTTTAAGGGAAACTTGGAATCCAAATTTTATATCAGTTAGCCCTCATTCATAAGAAGTAAAAGTAATCTTGTGCCAGTGATGTTGAGTCATTTAAATTAGTAGCCATATTATAATCCGATCAAGGTTAAGTATTAGACAAACATGATATTGGTCAATACTCAGTAATCAGTTGTTATGCCCCAAAATGCCCTGATACAGTCGAGAGTGGGGAGAGTCAGTCCTCCCTCTCCAAATTCTCTCACATGGCCACGTGCACAAAACCACTGCCACAGAAGTCCTACTCAATGCTTTCTCGCGGCGTTACTGTTGTTTACGAAATCGATAGGACAAAAACCGAATGTCCGGCGCTTTAACCGTGTTTGTGGACGTGGTGAGTTTACCTAGGGGAGTTGGAAATCTCTAATTCCAAACCAATGGTGCACATGGGTTGGCTCCAGGATCTTGAGAAAACAAATGGCGCATGAACCAATCTTTGGCCACCGGTTACCATGGGACCGCATCTCCTGACGTTGTTCCACTGTGTTTTGCATTATACCTTTAGGTTGTAGGTTTCGATTCGGGCACCCGTGCAGTATCGTAGCCGTCATACAAATCGAATGATTTTTCTGGCGCATATCTCACTTTAATACTTTCATTATTTTTTTGCTTTGTTTTATCAAAATTAGATAAATCAACTTAAACTAAAAATGTCCTACTCACCACATGAAAATAATAATGTAATAACTAGCAATTTGAAAGATTCACCATTTTCACCATTTCCTGAACGTACAATTGAATTATGTAATCGACGATATTTAGCTACATGTCTATGTTTACATTCAAAAATTCAAGCTAATTTGGAAATTTCAGGGAATTCATCATCTTCCCACTTAGAGAATGTAAGTTTTTTTGTTCTCTTGTTTCTATCTACGTGTTAATATATTTTTTATACAACTATATTTACCATTGAATTCATGAGTCAATTAAAGTTAAACCATCATAGAAAATATGGAAGCACTGAACGGCCGTTTCGTTTTGGTATGGGACTCGTCAACAGTGCGCACCCACAATCCCGCACGTGCGATTCGAACCTAGGACCTTTTGGTCTCGCGCACCATGATCAGTGGAGTTCAGTCAGGTCTGTTGTAAGATAGTAACTCACTGAAGACAATAGTGGACGGTTGTGCAATTTCATGAATTATTTGAAGTTAGACATTAGCACAATTGAATGCCAGCTCAGTGGTTTGGAGGTTAAGTGTTCGTGCGCGAGACCGATAGGTCCTGTGTTCGAGTGTGGCTTGCGGGATTCTGGATGCGCACTGCTGACGAGTCCCATACCAAAACAAAACGGCCGTTCAGTGCTTCCATGATAGTCTACCTTTAATTGACTCATGAACTCAATGATTAAATTACTAAATTTTCCACAAAAACCCCTTCTGAAAATATATTTACATTTGTTTGTTATAAATATGATGTGTATATCATTTCAAGTTGCTATATCCCATTATCATATCTAGATGAAATTGTTAGGGTATGAATCCTAGAGTAGTAGAGGTACTACTAGAAAAGATTACACATCGAAGGTACAATTCATTAAAATATAAATTAGTGAAATAATACAAAGTTATAAGAAATTCAGAATCTTAGGATTTGAGTGAAAACAAAAGGTGAATGCAGCTGAGCTGTTACGACTTAGTTTTCTTGTGGTTTTATAATTGTTTCGAATTAAATTACATTGTAATTTTGACATGACAAAGAGTTCTAACAGTTGGGGTTTTATTCATTGACATGGGAAAGATTAAGTAACCTATCAAAATTGATCTTGTTCGATAGTTTATAACATTTAATCACGCGTTACATTCGAACGAAACGGGATTGTTGTTCCACTTATCTATTTGTTTCAATGTAGGGAGAGAGAGAGAGAGAGAGAGGGAAAAAATGAATCACTGATGTGTTTGTGTACTTACAATAACTTTTTGTTGATACTTTTAGCCAGAACCATATTTTGTTACTATTTTTCTTGTGGATGTCAATGATGGACGTCGTGTTAGTGAAGATTTCTATTGGAATCCTAATTCATCAATTATTGATTCTATGTTACCAATAGATCAATTCAAAAGTTTACCATGGTATTCATCTAATAATCAATATTCTGAAACAACTAATGATATTCATCATCATCATCATCATCATTCAATATCTAATCAACCAAATATTATTTCATCACCTAATCGAATAACACGTAGACATGCACCACCACCACCACCACCACCAAATAATAATCTTATGTCTCCATATGGAACACAAAGTTCTATTTCATTAGATTGTTTGTATAAGTGTCGTACAGTGAGTTATTATGTTCCATTGTTTGTTTTTTTGTTGCTTAATTGTTTTACTTAACATTGACATTAGAATTATTGACCAATGTATACTTTGTCTTTAATGTTCATAGTAATGCTATGTGGTTTCAATGATCAGTTATATATATATATTTACTCAAAAAAAAGGTTGATCGATTGACGTTTTCTGATTGTAATTTACTCAACTGAATAGCAGATCATTTTTGGTTGTTAGTTTAATTGTACTTTTGCAATGGTATAACTTTGAATCAACCTGATTTCATTGTTCAACCAGGAGTATTTTTATTTATTCTAAAGTCAGAAGTTATCTTCAAATCCCTTAACTTTAATCTGTAGGCTTTGTATGTATGTATGAAGTACATATTTATGTACTCATCTTTTAGTTGCACTGTTTTATGTGTTTAGCAAAGGGATTAATAATATCAGTCATCTCAAAACAAAGTAGATGGGCTGATGTTCCAATCTGGGTCTTAATGGTCTCATAGCCATCAGCAACCCTGATAATCTTAGAGTTACGTAGACAACATAAATGTATATGACAGGTGTAGATATATTCCTAAGAGTGTTTTGTTTTTACTAGAAAGTACTTTTAAAAATGATCAATTTGTGTTTATTTTACTGGTTTTCATTAATGCGAATAATTGGTTTGTATTTTGTAACCACTGAACACCGATTATCACGACGCGCAATGCTGACTAGTGTTGGGGATGGTTGGGAGAAAGTTAGGGGAGGCCAAACCAAGACGTGGCATCAGTCCACAAAATCACTAACTTCGAGTCTGAGCCATGTTGGTAGATACAGACTACTTTCTTGGGGTCCGCGTGGATATCGTAACCAATGGTTGGAGACTGTGTGTGACATGGCTCAAAATCGATCACAGTTGTGTAGGTGTATACACTGTTTGTCTTCCCTTAAACTATGAGATTAAAATCGCTTCATATCTTTCTTTCTACAAACTAATTGTTTCTTCGTGTACTATGTCCTTATGCACAATCTTTCTTTTACATATTACCACCATTGAATTAACTACTTCTATGAATCCAGTGTTCATCTTGTTGTGCTAATGAGGTATGGCAATTTGGACTGATGCACATATGTGCCTGGTCCTAAGTTTTAGCTGAATCACTGACTGATTTTGTAACCATTACATAAAGTTGTTCAGATTGGTGTGAATGTACTCTAAAAAATTATCTAGAAGTACGATTGTACAACTCTAGGGAATGATGTCGTCGAAGATTTTTTGTCTCTGAAATGTCTTCGTTCTTTTTAATGAATCAATAAGTTTCTTTCGTTAGTTTTTCAAGAATAACATCTTCAAACCCTAATCTTTTCGATAGTACTTTTACTACCTCTACCACTATGAGATTTGAATCGACAATTGTATCTGTGTGCTAATATTGTATGGCAACTGGGACTGGTGTACGTTGTTGCTGACTGACTAACCTCGTTTTTTTCAAAAATTCATATATCAACACACGATCAAACTGCGTAACTTTAAGTCGTTTGAAATTATAGCGTAATGGTTTGTATGTCTACTGTGTTGTTCTTGATTGGCGTATCTTTATTCGATTGTACTTTCTGAAACATTACAAATCCCGTTGCTTTATTTTACACATGAACAGTGCCAGATGCCCTGGTACGGCCGAGAGTGGGGAGAGTCTGCTCACTCTCTCGAAATGCTCCCACATGGCCACGCGTATATAGCCTCTGCCAGGGAAGTCCTACTCACTGCCTTCTCGTGACAATACTATTGTTTACGAAAATGAGAGGATGTAAAGCGAATGTCCGGAGCTTTAACTGGATCCCCCGAACGAAGCTGCTGCCTTGACGCGGTGGTCGGGCTTGCCTATCGTGATGACCCAACCGAGCTATATTGGCTGGAACATATGTTCCTGTAGGTTCTACCATGCCAGGCAGGTCGATTGGTGAACGGTAAGACTAAAAGCAGCAACTCAAGGTCTGAGGGCGAAGTCGTACTGCTGACTGTAGAGAGGTGTGACAGCAGTAAGGTGTTTCCCTCGGACAACCAGCATGACAGCGATGCTGCCTTCCCACAAGGAGGGGTGGGGTTAGAAAAGGTCGACCCTAAAAATGTCACACCTCACCTTACCTCACGGATTTCCGTCTCCGGCGGTAAGGCCCTTTGAAGAACGGAGCTAACACGTCAAAAACCTTCCACAAAAAGGCCGTGCGCGACCGGCCTCAAGCAGTTGTCCCTTGGGCTCTGCGGTCACGCTCCCAGGTCGTCAAGACCAACACTAATCCAATTTCCTTTTCAGGTTCCTCAAGAAATACCCTTCCACGGTGTGGGCAGCCGGGAAGTGACATCAGCCCTCATACCCGTAACAGCACAAGAGACCAAGGTGGTCACATTCAAATCCTTCCTACACCTCCTAATACCTCTCTTATCTCCATGACTAACCCTCCTCACGTCTCTTTATCACCTCGCACCGCTAGGGCAAACGATTCGAGTACGTGGAACGCCATTCCTGGTCTCCTGAAACCACGCTCTAAACTACACGTAGGAGCTTTTAACGTACGAACACTTTGCCAAATAGGACAGCAGGCTTCCTTAGCTAAAACTTTAGAATCTCGCGCCATCGATGTGTGCTGCGTCTCCGAAACGCGCATACAGGATCCAAGTAGCGTCATTCATTTGACCTCACCATGCCAAAATAAAGAACCGACTCGATTTACGCTTCGTGTATCTGGAAGCCCTGATTCTGCTTCCCGTGGCCTCGCCGGCGTAGGTATAGCATTGAGTCCTAGGGCAGAACTAGCTCTCTTAGAGTGGATCCCAGTAGACAGTCGTTTGTGCGCTGTCCGACTGAACGGAACAGTAAGAATCCGGAAAGATAGGGACACTCGTCGTTGCCTCTTCGTCGTCTCTGCCTATTCTCCCACTGACTGCAGCTCAGATGATGTAAAAGATGAGTTTTACAGAAAGCTTTCGGACCTTCTCCGAAAAGCTAGCGCTCGGATGTAGTAATAGTGGCCGGTGACTTTAATGCTCAAGTAGGTAAACTAAGCGATAGGGAAAGACACCTAGGTGGATCTTATGGTGTCGTGGCTCAAAGAACAGATAATGGCGACCGTCTGTTGCAGCTATGCTCAGATAACCGCCTGTTCCTTGCAAATACTAACTTTAAGCATAAGGAAAAACATCTTTTAACATGGCGACCCCCTAATTCGTCCCAACGTTGGACCCAAATAGATCACATCGCTATCAGCCACCGATGGAGGGGCTCGATAGAAGACTGTCGCTCATTCTGGAGCACATGCCTAGATTCAGATCATGCTCTAGTGCGAGCGCGTATTTGCTTGCGTCTTACTGGACGTAGGAAAGACGCTGCAAGGAAACCTCTTAGGGCCTACTTAATGATAGTCAAGCTAAGAGTATATTTCAGGAACAACTAGGAAAACAGTTAGGCAGCCATGTATGTGATGCCCACCCCGATGCAGCATGGAATGATATCCGAAAAGCTGTGGAAACAGCAGTGATATCTGCTAGTAAGGTAAACCAGAAGGTTAGGGAGCAACACTGGATCTCAGCAGCATCTATCGCACTGATAGATGCTCGGAAACTCATTCCACCTGGCTCTGAACATAATGAAGAGCGGAGTCAGCTTAAGCGCAAGCTGACAAGAAGTCTACGCAATGATCGCGAACAGTGGTGGGTAGCGAAAGCAAGAGAGATGGAAAAGGCAGCGGCAATAGGTAATAGCAGACAATTGTTCAGACTCGTTAAGGAAACCGGAATTAGGAACCCGACCGTTAGCGAAACAATCTCAGAGAAAGATGGACATATTATTCATTCTCAATCCAGGAGATTGGATCGATGGGCAGAACACTTTAGGGATCAGTTCAACTGGCCTTCAGCCACACTTCGGTTTCCCACGATCTCTAGTCAACCTGAATGGCAAGTTAATGTAGGTCCTCCGTCCCTTTACGAAGTTGAAAAAGCCATAGGAAATCTGAAACGAGGGAGAGCAGCAGGCCCTGACAGGTTTACTCCTGAGATTTTTAAGGATGGTGGTCCAGTATTAGCAGCGAGATTGACCGAGGTCTTAGGTAACCAAAGCTCGTGAAGAACAGACTAGAGAAAATCAGGCTGGTTTTCGACCTGGACGTGGTTGTATAGATCAGATATTCACACTACGTCAGGTTCTAGAACACAGACACACATTCAGACGCCCCACAATGATAGTATTTCTCGACCTTAAGGCGGCATTTGACTCAGTTGATCGTGAGGTTCTATGGCAGTGTTCGACAGTGAAAGGAGTACCAAAGAAGTACATTAACCTTGTAAAGGCTCTCTACTCGAACGCAACTGGTCGAGTGAGAGCTTATGGCGAACTGTCATCAGAATTGACTACCTCAAGTGGTGTTCGTCAGGGTTGTCCACTCTCCCCATTCTTGTTCAACTTTGTGGTCGACGTACTTTTAGAGATAAAACTCTCCTCATCTAAATTTCCAGGGGTTGAACTTCTACCGGGAGGTTCACTTGTTGACTTAGAATATGCAGATGACATAGTTTTATTTGGTGAAGACGCTGTCAAAATGCAGAGTCTTCTGATCACTCTAAGCAACAATGCAAGCATGTTCGGGATGCTATTCTCTCCCTCGAAATGCAAAATGTTGCTTCAGGATTGGGTTACATCGACACCCGAACTAGTGATAGGGAGTGAAGTAGTTGAGTGTGTCGACCGCTTCACTTATCTTGGAAGTCTCATTAGCCCTTGTGGTTTAGTGTGTGACGAAGTCTCAGCACGGATACAGAAGGCTCGACTAGCTTTTGCCAACTTGTGTCATTTATGGCGTAGGCGAGATATCCGTCTATCAACCAAAGGACGTGTTTACTGTGCAGCAGTTCGTTCCGTCCTACTTTATGGCAGTGAAACATGGCCGGTAAGAGTAGAGGATATCCGTAGGCTACTAGTATTTGATCATAGGTGTCTTCGAAACATTGCTCGTATATCATGGGACCATCGAGTAAGTAACATAGTTGTTAGGAAACGGGTAATAGGTAAGGATGGCAAATCAATTGATGAAGTAGTGAAACTTCATCAGTTGAGATGGTTGATACACGTGTTACGTATGCCCAACGACCGACTACCTCGACGTGCTATGTTCAGTGGTATAGGAGTAGGTTGGAAGGAAGCTAGGGGCGGCCAAACCAAAACATGTCACAAGTCCATGAAGTCACTGACAAGTGGACTGAGTCATGTTGGTAGGTGTAGACTACCTGGTTGGGGACCACGAGATGATAGCAACCGATGGTTAGAGACCCTGAATGACATGGCTCAAAATCGTTTGCAATGGCGCAGGTGCATCCACTCTCTGTTTTCTCCCAAATTCTAATCTTCTGAATCCTTCATGTCCGTTTTTTCCTCGTTCCAAATTTATTTCACTGTATTATACTCTTTAAATAACATCTCCAAACACTAATCTTCCCGATTACTGCTTATACTTTTACTACCTCTACCACTACGGGATTTGAATCGACAAGTGCATCTCTGTGCTAATGTGGTGTGGCAACTCGAACTGATGTACGTACGTAAGAAGTTCTACGTTGTTACTGACTGACTGACTGACTTAACTGGATCCCAAACCAATGGTGCACATGGGCTCCAGTATCCTGCGGGAACAAATGGCGTATGAACCAATCGTTGGTCACCGACTACCATGGGACTGCATCTCCTTACGATGCTCCACTGCCTTGTGGATTAGACCTTCAGGTCGAAGGCTTGGGGAGTAGCCCCCTAAGAAAACCACCTGCTTCGGTTTGGGCACCCGGGCAGTATCACAGCCCTCACACATATCGAATGAGATTTGTGTGGCGCATATGTATTTGGTGCCTCCGTGTACCAATATCTATGTGTTAAAATAATAATAGTAATTCGATTTTAAACATTTGGGTTATATGTTAGGTTTCTATCTGACATTTAATCTAGTTTAAAAAACCGCATCTTATCTGTATGCTCATCATTTAGAGTTGTGATATGACTCTAAGTTTAAAGTAAATATACATGTTTCACACTTCACAATACTACCTACTGACTTTGAACAAGAGTGGAAAACTAAGCCTTATTGAGCACGAGATAGTACAGAATTATTGATTTTTTAGTTTTGTAGTTTACACTATGGATTTACCTTAATTAGCATGTTATTTTTCTTAATATGGGACTCCTCAGAAGTCACCACTTATGACCACCCCTTCCGTAGACTTCTAGACCTCGCGTCAAATACTCAACAATTATTCCACTGAGTCGACGTACATTATTTTATATTTCTGACTTAGTCATATGCTCACTGGTAACTAATTTTGAGGCGTGATTCTTGGAATTTCAGTGAAAAACCGTGTATAGTGAAGTCCAACTATATCGTGAGTCCAGCATTTACCTTCCAATGACATTGGGAGATAATTGCGTAATGTTGTAAATTGATTGAATTTATAAATGTACGTAACTGGATCCAGACTCAATGGTCTAAAGTTTAATCGCTTTCTGTGAAACCTACAGGTTTTCCATTTGATTCCCGTTGGGATCGTGAATACACTTTGTTCTGAGGATTCTCATACTAGGCTGAAACAGTTGTCCAGTGTTTTCGGGTTTCCATTGGTTGTTTTATCAAGGTTAGACTTTGATGCAAATCCCACGAATCCCTTACAGTAGAAATAAACGTGTTCAGTATACATAAGTTACATTAGATTAGAAACAGATTATGTTTGTTTGTCTTTAATTCTATGATAATCAATGAACTGATATCATTGATATAAATCTATGAAGAATATTACCATTCATTGTGTATGAATGATTCATGTACAACTGTAAGTGGTGTACATCACCTGTACATGTTTAACATTTTTCTCATTACAACGATCATAGTTGTAATCCTTAACCTAATCATTTCCACATCACACACACACACACACATACAAACTCAGTAGTCTTAAGCGTATATTCACCGAGGGTATTAATTTGTTTAAGTTTCACAATATCTATAATGAACAGAATTGATATGAAAACTTGTCTGTTCATCGCAATACAGTTCAATTTATGTAACATTGATAAATTTTCTAAATTCAATAAATTACTTAAAGGTAATTTGTTAGTCTATTGATATGATGGGATAAAAAGGTAAGGCAAGGCATCTAAGTAAATATCATTAGTAGTTTTTTATTTACACTATGAATACAAATTTTAATGTTGGTGCATGTATAAGATAGGAATTTGGATTTTTACAATTTAATCTATAATGACCATTTCCATACTAGGACGAAACAGCCCTCCAGTGCTTTCACGTTTTCCATGGTGGTTTAACTTTAATTAACTCGTGAATTCAACTATTAAATTACTAAAACCTACACAAAACCCCCTTCTAATGATAATCACCATATCCTCACTAGTGACTGGCTTTAAGAGGTATTTCATGGAGTTCTAGTAGGAAACAGTGACCAGCGGAGTTCAACCAGGTCTGTTGTGAGATAGTAACTCACTGAAGACAATGGTGGACAGTGGCGCAATTTCGTGGATTAGTTGAAGTTAGACATTAATACCGTTGAATGTCGTCTCAATGGTCTAGAGGTTGTGTTCGCGCTCAAGACATTTAGGTCGTGGGTTCGGGTGTGGTGTGCAGGATCTTGTATGCGCACTGTTGAAGAGTCCCATACTAGGACGAAACTGCCGTCCAGTGATTCCAGATTTTTCATGATGGTCTAGTTTTAATTGACTCATGAATTCAACTATCAAATTATTTACGTTTAATTTATTTATTGCATACTTAGCTTCCTTTCACGGTATAATTAATGATATTCAAATGAAATTTTAAACATCGATGGTTGAACAGGTCTATTCGATTTTATTGATCAATTGTCTGGGCATGAATTTAAAATATTTGCTTGGCTATTCCCAATTTATATCATCTTTGACTGTGGCCAGACATCCGTCTACTCCTCAAAGGGTAAACATATCGAGAAGTAGACAACTATACTTGCGGAATATTGTCCATAAAAGTAGAAGACATGAGTAGATTTTAAGTTATGGAAGATGGCTGTTTGAAGAAATCCTGACGCGGATACTTCAAACTCCGTTGGTGTTGTTCAAAATGCATGACTTCTGTTGTAGATGATATATTTTTCTCATTATAATATGATAGAACTAGCGAAGAAATCATTTCTAAAGTTGATTAGGGAAGATGGAAAATAATTGTCTGTCACAGTTATTTAACTGTGAGTATTTTCAAAACATTCCTTGTTACTGATATCAGTCGTCGTGTACTAGGTTGAGACAGTGGAAATGGTCTAGTCTTGGAACTTTCATTAACTTAGATGGTTAAGAAATGTGTTATATATGTTCTAAGCTACTACTACTCACTTCAGGCATACAATTCTGGCAACATTTTAGCTTGTTAGTTTCTTGTCTATTACTTTTAACTATCATATAAGTTTCATACTCAATTATATTGTTCTGTAATTAAACTTATCTAATTCTAACCTTCCTTTTTCTCATTGAATTTTTTTTATTATCTAGGCATTATTTTCAATTCCATCATGTTGTCATGTCAATAATTTGTATATAGTTGTACGAGTGGATAAAGTTCTTAGTGGACCAATCAATACAGTAATAGATAAATACTTGAAAAATACTAATAATACTAATGATAATATTAAAACTGGTTCAAGTATACAAAAATCAATGGTGAATTATTGTCGTAATATTGGTCGTTATCGTATGCCATTTGCATGGGGTGCAAGGTTAGCTATATGAAATATTTATTTTTTTGAAAGAAGCCAATGTATATGCCCGGCCCGTTGCTGTTACCTTGACGTGGTGGTCAGGCTTTCCTATTGTAGTGAACCAATCGAGCTATACTCGCTGAAACGATCGTTCCTCAAGGTCTTACCATCTTAGACAAATCGGTTGAAAAGTAATAAGCAGCAAACCCAAGGTTCGAGGACGAAGTCCTACTGCTGACTGTACAGACGTATGACGGCAGTAAGGTGTTTCTATCAGACAACCAAGATAACAGCGATGCTGGGGTTAGAAAAGGTCGTTCCTAAAAGTACACACCTCACCTTATCTCACGGATTTGCGTTTTCGGCGATAAACTCCCAACACTACGGAGCTAACACGAAAATTACGCAAAAATGTCGTGCGTGACCGACCTCAGTTAGTTGTCCCTTGGTCACTGTGATCACACTCTCAGGTCATTAAGACCACCCCTAACCCAATTTCCTTTTGTTTTATTTATTTATTTAAACACATAAACATTGGTACAAGGAGGCACCAAATAGATATGAACCACATAAATCATTCGATTTATGTAAGAGCTGGGATACTGCCCAGGTGCCCAAACCGAATTAGTACTTAGAATGTATATACTGTTGTAATAATAACAACTTACGAGCATTAATTGTTTAATCATGAATGTTTCAGTGTTCGACTTAATTTGATTATCATGTAATAAAACGAATATGTTTCCGAGTAAGTTACACTTCAAATCTTCTGATATCGAATAGTTAAATGTATAAAAATTTTACTAAATCATTTTAACTTGTAAAGTCAATTAAGTTTAGATCAATGATGAATGTCTCATCAAAACTCTTATTGTCCATACTCTGGCAATGCTATTCATTAATGAGCATACTCATTATAGTCTTTCAACATTTTATAGTTATGAGTATGTGCTGATGCTAAACCATCTTAATATTAAACTGATCACTAGATAAACAATACCAATGTCATATTTGTCTAATCTGAACTACTGTTAAAATTCTTTGGATAAAGTTCATTGAAATTTGGTCAATAGTCTAATTAATTCCACGACATATTCACTATTTTGATTTTAGATGGTTAGCAAAATCATCACTAAGTCCTAAACGTGTAGGATTCATTTTAATTGAAACTCATCAGAATTATGTACTTGCTGTCCAAAGGAAACCTATCCTCTTGCATGATATTAGAACACGGTTCACCCTGTAACACAACCATAAACACGGACCTAATCAATCCATGAATCACGTAGTACGGGACTGAGTTATTTACATTGATTGAAAATCAATATCTTAGTGGTGATTTCTTTCTATGTTTGTTTCTAGATACTGCTTGCTCATGACTCCCAGTGGTTTTCACTACTGTTTTTTTGTTATGTAAATATATGTATGACGATTTTGTATTGAATGATGCCTATATTCTTACTAAAATACTTGATAATCCTATTGCGAGGTGAGTATTTTTACAAACTAAATTTCAATTTCACAACTGATTGATCATTGAATGGTGATCAATGTCTTGTGTATCAGGTCCTGCTTAGTGCAGATCGGATGCTATCGACCAACTTACAATGCATGGAGGCTGGAGGTAGTCAACAGAAAACCCTGACCATTTTTTCGTGTTATTTGGAACTCTTCAGCAAGGTATACCTGTAATCTTGAGGGAACTGGTGTTCCCTGACGGATCTAATCCTGTATCACCCATCTTCACAGTCAGAGACTTTACCACTGAGCTATCCGGGCCGCGATTGACCTCCTGTAGGACTGAGATGTATTCACAATTGATTGATCATCGGATGGTGATGAATATCATGTATGTCAGATCCTTCTTAGTGCAGATCGAATGCTATCAACCTGTTGACTACCTTCAACAACCATCTTAAATTTCAATTTCTTTGATAACTAAATTATTGTGTTTGAAAAATAAATTCAACATTTAAATTTCATTTTATAGACCTGTAAACAGTACAAATCGTTTTATTCATCTATTCAAAATGGATTCTAATAAGATCTCTGAACAAGGATTAATTCAATCTGTACAAATGTTATCCCATTTATCAATTGATTATAATACATATCATGATCGGTATACAGATGTAACAAGCATTATGACTACTACTAATAATGATAATAGTAGTATAGATGAAAGTAATCATTATCATATACCAGAATCTATAAATCATATGTTAAAAATAGACTCAAATAAATCAAAATCATCAAAATTGATTAATAATAATAGTTCTGTACTAAAAGATGTTACAAATTATTTAACCGAACAAGATCGACTCTTTATTGAAACAATTGAACGTTCTCTTAAAACTCAAATGTTACCTATACGATTTGAATTCGTGATGAGTGAACTAATTGATCATACTATTGATCCTAATGCAAAACCTTTATCACGTAAGTGTTAAATCTCTATTTACACTTATTTTTTTTCTATGTATCGTGGTATGTTAATCTGAAAAGTTAAAAATCTACATTTGGTGAGATTATAATTTCTGGATGACCTTTGTTTATCTTATTTATTTAGTTAAACACGAAAACATTGGCACACGTAGGCACCAAATAGATATGCACCACATAAATCATTCGATTTGTGTGAGGGCTGGGATATTGCCCGGATGCCTAGACCGAAACAGGTGGTTTTCTTAGTGAGCCACACCATGAGCCTTCGACCTAAAGGTTTGATCCACAAGGCAGTGGAGCAACGTCAGGAGACGCCGTCCCATAGTAGCCGGTGACCAATAATTGACTCATACGCCATGTGTTCTCTCGGGATTCTGGAGCCAGCGCATGTGTACCATTGGTTTGGAATCAGGTTTCCAACTCCCCTAGGTGAACTCTCCTTGTCCACAAACTCGGTTAAAGCACCGGATATTCGCTTTTCGTTTTATCGATTTAGTAATCAACATCCCCACCATGAGAATGCAGTGAGTAGGACTTCTGTGTTAGTGGTTGTATGCATGTGGCCATGTGAGAGCATTTGCAGAGGGAGAGCTGACTCTCCCCACTCTTGGCCGTACCAGGGCATTTGGGGGCGAACAACCTTTGAGTGACGCCACACTGACCTTGAGAGTGGCCACTTAATAACTAGGACGAAACGATGGTTATAAACCAGTGTGAGGAATTATAATTATGATTGACGGTTGATGATTAAGGTTAGGAATTAGATTTGGGTGATTTCATCACCAACCGACATTAGTTATAATGCCAAAACTTTATTCAGCCAAATCGATGAGTGAATTTCGCGCCCAAATCGAAGACCTATTATCTTATATCTGATTGGTTTATTCATAAACTTATAGTCTCACTTTACATTTTAATGATTATTATCAGAATAATCTTGTACTTAATGTATTTACATTGGAATAGGATAAGGAATAAAATATCCACATTTATAGATTGGATGATCTGATCATTTTAAGAAAACGTTAATTTAGTTTACTTATCCAATTGATATTTCATCACAGATGAAATGAAAACGTTAGAACATTGATTGTATACATCATGTTCACCTGGTTAAATGATGTCTCTTTCACTGTTTATCTAGTTAATATCAACAGTTTTAAAGCATTAACTACTACTTTTTATGAAACATGAAAAATCCGATGTTAGATGTTAGGTTAATAGCTTAGACAGTTGGAAATATTGCTAAAAGTGTTTGAGGATTATGGAGTCCGTCTCATAATTGACTGATCTTCTTCATTTGCGATTTATCAATATTCTTTTGAATTTAAAATAAAATTTCCATGAAGTGAAGCAATTGTAGAATGACTCTCAGCTTTGTACACTGCTCTTTGGGTTAACCTTAATGCTTAAGGCACTATGGTGTGACTAATAGAAGTGAAATAATTCGGATTTATTTGGTCCAATTATATTCAGTAGTTAAAATTAACTTCGGAATCCATTAAGCCACAACTTTGATCATTTCAGTCATTATTGTATGTGCTAAATAAATGCATCTTCAAACATCATTGGTTTTTGCATCCTTAATTCACCTTGATAATTATGTATTTATGTAGTAATAGTAATGCAGTGTATAAAGTGTTCGTTTTTCAAACATGGTGGTGCTACAAGTTCGAATCCTATATTCTACATCTGTTGGGTTTGACCAATCGATTATTAATGTTAATTACTCCTACTCAAAAGATATAGATGAAAACCGATTGAATAAGTTTGTATTTGACCAGTTGAATAATGGGTAACGTACTTGACTGTTAAGTAGTAAGACTCTGGTTTACATTCTAATTTTCGGTTCAAGCAAAAACTGTATAGGTTTACTACAATTGAATTATATTATAGAATTTAATAAATGAATTTATGTTTAGTTATTTGCTTAATTTATTATTATTACTACTGATAAATCCTAGGAGTTGTTGCTTCAAATCTGGAAATATACACACCGAATGTGACAGCTAATAATTCTCATAATTTCTATATACCATCAACACATCCACCGCTTATGTCAGATGAAATTATACGTGAAGTTGAAAATCTATTTGATTTTTATTCAACTCTATCAGGAACATCGTATAATGATGATTATGGAATTAATAATCCAGGTATGTCTTTTAGTTTAATGTGTAGAGATAGTTGAATGAAACGATAAAAAGGGTGAATCTAAACTATTTGTTTCAATAATTCTCTAGTCTGTATAAACTTAGAATGCTTATTATTCTTTATTTATTTAAACACATAAACATTGGCGCAAGTAGGCACCAAATAGATATGCGCCACATAAACCATTCGATTTATGTGAGAGCTGAGATACTGTCCGGGTGCCCAGACCGAAACAGGTTGTTTACTTAGGCGGCCACACTCCGATCCTTTGACCTAAAGGTCTAATCTACAAGGTAGTGGAGCAACGTCAGGAAGATTCAGTCCCATGGTGGCCGGTGACCAACGATTGGTTCATACGCCATTTGTCCCCTCAGGATTCTGGAGCCAACCCATGTGTACCATTGGTTTGAAATGAGGGCTTTCCAACTCCTTTAGGTGGATTCTCCATGTCAACTAACTCGGTTAAAGTGCCGGATAATCACTTTTCGTATTGTCGATTTGGTGAACAACATCCCCATCGCGAGAATGCAGTGAGTAGTACTTCTATGTCAGTAGTTGTATGCACGTGGCCATTTGAGAGCATGTCGATAGGGAGAGCTGGCTCTTCCCGCTCACGGCCGTATCAGGGCATTTTAGGGCTCTCGTAGAACCTGTGACTGAAATTCGTGAATAATAATAGAAAAGTTTTCAGATAGCTTTGAGTATTAAGTCCACTAATTGTACAGTTTTCCAACGTTTGGATTCAACTTTACGCACTAATTTTAAAATTTCAAAGCTGGCGATCTACGAATTTTTTTGAACGGACTTCAATAGAATGTTTTAGAAAGATTTAATTTTTCAATATATTTTCCATCTTCAATGTAGAATCATTGAGTTGATGATCCAGTCCCGTCCCCATCAGTGGGGAGGCTGGTTGGTAACATACCTAACATTTTAAACTTTTTGGGTTGAAATTTCACTGATCTAAAAGTCAAGCGCTCGATTGGATTCACTCTTAGTCATGGATGTACTGATCAGGAATTTCAAACTAAGCCGAAACGAATGTCAAGTGTTTTCATTGGTCGTCTAAGTTACGTCAGTTCTTGATGTAAAGTGAAATTTTGAAAAGCTGATTCTTTTGAATTTTCCATTATACAAACCAGTTTGTATTGACAAATAGACTGGTTTATAGAGTCAAACACCTCATAAATATTTTATACTTGGTGTTATAATTAAATCACTCAAGCATTCCAATTTTAACCTTTGAGCCTCTAACGTTTTCTCACTCTTCATAGTAGATCAAAAAATTACAAAGAAAAAAATTTATCTAAGCTTTTCATGATCATGTTTGAGGTTTCTGAGTTGTGCGGATTTTCGTACATGTGGTACTGTGGTTAGTAATTTTGGTGTGAAGTTGAAGTGGTTTTACGGCAGTTAATTTACGTTGTGACTAACATAAAGATATTCCTGAAATTCTTGTAAAAAATTCCGACTGGTGGGGTTTAGACATATCGATAATAAAGCAACTGTTACCGTTGAATCACTCTGTCACAGATTCACTGGAGTTAGAGGCGTATCATTGAACTTCGACCCAGGATTTCTAATGGTCAAGTGCTCACCGAAAGGTCTGAATGTTCAATCCCTGATAAGGTTGTGAGTGCTCAGTTTTAAGTAGTTCCATACTAATACGAAGTTTCTGTCCAGAATTCTGTGACTCCAAACGGTTCCGTCAACCAAATATGTTGTGTATTTTTTTCTTCTTTTTAGATGATTCTAATACTCCTTCTCGTACTGGAAGTCTTCAAAGAGGTAGTTATCGAATGAATTCACTTAATAACAAAAATAATAATAATAATAATAGAGATTCTATTCTATCAAATAATAGTGTAAATAGTACAACTAGTTCACTTATTATTACAAATGATTTACCAAAATTATTAAATAACACACTTCAAAATCAATCAAATTCACTTGAACAATCTGTTATTCAATTTGAACATGGAACAAGTACACATTGTTCAACTATTAAATTATTACCATTTACTTCATTTTTTAATACATTATATGTATGTCCAAAATCATTGAATATGTCAGGGAAACATAATTTTCCAAGGGTAAATTCAATTATCTATTTATTATTATTTTTATATGTATAACCATTTTTTTTTCTAGTTCAAAGAGATCCTTTTAAAGTACAGGAAGATTTGTTTGAAATAATCACTTGAATAAATCCATTGTGGTATTTTCAATTATTCAGTTACATGTTGTAACTCATTTGCTTCCAAATGCCCTGGTACGTTCGAGGGTGCAATGAGTCCTCTCTACTGCTGGAAATGCTCTCATACGGCGACGTGTATATAGCTACTATCAGGGAAGTACTACTCACGGTCTTCTCGCAGTAGGGGTGTTGTTTACAAAATTGAGAGGACGAAAAGCGAATGTCCGGTGCTTTAACCGGGTTAGTGGACACGGAGAGTCCACCTAGGGCAGTTGGAAAGTTTGATTTCAAACCAATGGTACACATGGGTTGGTTCCAGAATCCTGATTGAGCCAACTATTGGTTACCGGCTACTACGGGACTGCATCTCCTGACGTTGCTTCACTTCCTTGTGGATCAGATCTTCATGTCAAAGGCTCCGGATGTGGCATCCTAAGATAACCAACTGCTTCGGTTTGGGTGTCCGGGCAGTATCACAACCCTCACATATATCAGTGATAACTACTACTGGTTTCAATGTTATTGTGTGGCGCATGTGTATTTGCTGTTCAAATAAATTGATAAATGTAACTCATTTACTCATTGCTATGTATTCGTTTTTGAGACAAACTTTGATGGTATTAAGGCTTATAATAACACTTGATTGTATAAACAGAGATCTATTGGTTGAAGGTCTAGTGGTGTTGGGAAGGTCTTAATGGTCCTATTAGTAAATGTACACTATGACGTCATAATATCTTGGGTTCAATTCTGAAATGTTTTGTGGTTGCATACTTCTAAGGAGTCTTATACGTGGAGTAAACTGGACTACATGACTGAAACAGCGAAGTGAGAAAATATGCGAACTTATAACGTGAAAGATAGTACAAATGTGTATTGATTTGTGTTGCCAGATTTCATATCAGATAAATGATTTAGTTGTTGTGTTCAGCTATTTAATTCACTCCAATCAGGGTTGTTTTATTTGGTTATGCAAAGAAATAAGTATTAGTACTAAAAAGCACCAAAATATATATGCGCTGCACTAAGTGGTTATCACTCAGTTTCTTTTTGAGGAGGGGTCACTCCCCGAGTCTTTGATCTAGAGGTCTAATCCACAAGGTCGTGGAGCAATATTAGAAGATGCAGTTCCATGGTAACCGGTAACCAAGAATAGGTTTCGTGTGTGTACACATCTTAATGGTTAAATCATTTCAGGGATAGATCATTGGTTTGGAGGTGTTCAGCTGATAATTTTCAACCACTGAGTTAAAGGTTTGAACGTCGGTTTCCAACTAGTAAATTTCATGCTCGAACCCCATTCTAGTTAATTTAGTACACTAGCAACCGGACGATACCACTAATCTTCACGCATAAATCATTGTTCAAAGTCGAGTCGATATATTTACCTATGCCTTGGTAAATAGGTTACATATTCGTTGACTTCCTGAAAATGGTTGGGCCTGTCATAAATGATTGAGGTTCTTCCAGTACAAACAAACAATGATTAATTAACAGGAAACGAGATAACTTGGAGTCTTCTTAGCATTGTCCTGCAAGGTTATTCTCTTTGCTTTCGATTTCACTTACTGTGTGATCGTTAAATTCATAACTACCTTCAAGCAATTACTGAGCATTCAGTCTCTGACTTGTCATTTGGCAATTACGTTTTCGTACAATTTTATCACTTCTTTTTGTTATCATGAATGGATCAATGTTGGACCACCATTGAAAACCTTGAAGCACTGAGTAATTACTATGTGCTCACGAATGACTGGCTTCAAGATGGATTTCTTGAGGTTCTATTGAGAAGCTGTGACAGTAGAGTTCAATCGTATCTGTTATAACGGAATTACTCACTGAAGACAATGGTGGACGGTCGCGAAATATCATGGACTGGTTCAACTTAGACATTAATACCGTTGAATTCCGGCTCATTGGTGTATAGGTTAAGCGTTCGCGCATGAGACCGATAGGTCCTGGGTTCGAATGTGGTGTGCATAATCTTGGATGCACATTGGTGAAGAGTCCGATACTAGGACGAAACGGCCTTCCAGATTTTCAGTGGTGGTCTAACATTGATCCATTCATGATATCAATCTAAACTCAACAATCTTCATAACACCATACTGATACTTCGTTTTGTATGATCTATCATGTCTTTTGTATTTAAAACAGCTTATTTTTTTCAGTCGATTTCATTTCAAATATTTCAATTAATTTGTTACTTTTTCATAGACCTTTCTATTGACCATCAGTATGTTTTTAGTAAAATTCATCTTTCTTACCTTCCTCCTCACTATAATATCAAATAGCTTCATTGCTATATATATGTACATAGGTTGTGTACCCTGGTTTCCTTCACATTTATAGATTCTTCCCTATTGATCCTATTGTAAATGTCAATTCAACATCAATTCCTTTTTCTATGTTTCTTCTTTTCTCTATAAATAACAAATCATCAGTGAAAATATTTTTCAGTTTGATTTTATTGTTACAAAAGTAATTCGTTCACTAGTCAGTGATATGTTTCTTTTTTCCATTCACCTTTAAGTCGTATAGCTTTTGTGAGCGCTTAAATAAAATTACCTAAATAGCTAGTCAGAGTTAATTGGGAGTACATGGAGCAACTATGTTTTAATAAAGGGTCTTATGGAAATGGAAAAATAGATCCAAATTGCTCTTTGAATCATATACTTGATACATCAATACTTTGGTGTAAGCTATTTATATCTACATAAGTAGTATATAATGATAGTCAGGACGAGAATGTATTTCATTTGAATATCGAGAAGGAATGAACGGAAACATAAGGTAATTAGTATGAAAATGAAAGAACAATGAAATCTAAGACGATGGACTTATATTTTCAAAAGAAACAGTCAAGTTTCAGACAATGGATTGATATTTTGCAAATTACTTATTCACAGTGTGGTTCTCAGATTTTGGTAAGACGTTCTGTATTATATTGTCCAAATACATTCGATTGTTCCCGCTGATGTTCTTTTTCACTAAAATACGAGTAAAAGCATTTGACTTGGTAATTAGTCACGGTATTTAGTCATATGATACACGGTTCAATTATCTAGAAAATGATCAAGAATAAGCTTCAACCTGAATGAGAGTGGGATGAAAGCGGAAATAATTTTACTTATAAAATAATCTCTTATAGTTAGTTTAGCCAGATATATCGGATTTCACTTTAACATTGGCATTATCAGAACTCGTAGTTGAAAATCAACTATTTTAACTACTAAACTATTACCACTCCACGATTACCCTACGACTAATTTTAATTTATCTGTTACTTACATGTTGTTCATTCTGTTTTGATGTGAATTAATGAAATCAGTCAATTACTTTGAAGCCTATTTCAAGAAATCTGTAAATGAAACCAGGCTCAAAACATATGGTCTGGTTATTAAAGGGTGTACATACCATTTCGGCTGTATCATATGTATTCATATTGCTTTAGCATATTGTTATTCTCTATTTTTTTATCACTAATTTCTTTTCTTTTTATTCTCCTGTTTAGGCTCGGAATTTATCATGTTTCATTGAATTACGAAGTAATGATAATTTGGATAATTCCACTGCGTTAAAGGTTAGTTAGTTGGTTATGTGAAAAGTAAAATACTGACTTAACATACATGATAATATTTACTGTTCAGTCCTGCAGGAGGTTAATCGAAGTCCGAATAGCTTAGGAGTAGCATCTCTGTGAAGCTATATGATACACGTTCAAATCCATGAGGAGCCATCAGCTCCCTCAACATTACATGTGCATTTTGACTTACGAGTTCTAAATATCATGAAGCATAGGTTATGTTGGGTTTGCTGTCAATTTCCTCTAACAATCTTGAATTATTGGAGTAAGTTATTCTCCTGAACCAATATGATGTTAGAGAGCTACTCTTGCGTTATCATGCTAAATTCAAAATACAATATTAAATAACTTGTTTTATTACGAGCTTACTAAAAACATTGTAAGATGCCTTAAGTTGACAAACATGATGAGATTGAAGAATAGTAGCGAATTCGCTCACTTCTTAAAATGATACTAATAAAGTGAACAATTTTTAGAGGACAAGTAACAAGTCCTACTCACTGCCTTCTCGCGGGATTACTGTTGTTTACGAAATCGAGAGGAAAAAAAGCGAATATCCGGGGCTTGAACCGGGTCGTTGGATATGGAAGATCCACCTAGAGAAGTTGGAAAACCCTGATTTCAAACCAATGGTTCATATGGGTTTCAGAATTCTAAGGAAACAAATGGTATATGAACCTATTGTTGACCACCGGCCACCATGGGACTGCATCTCGTTACGTCGCTCCACTGCCTTGTAGATTAGACCTTTAAACCAAAGACTTGGTGTGTGGATACCACCTGCTTCGTGTTGGATACTCGTGCTGTATCACAATCCACATATAAACCAAGTGATTTGTGTAACGCATATATATTTGGTGCTCCTTTGTAATAATATTTGTGTTGAAATAAATAAATAAGATTAACTAAGTTTTTTGTGAGTGGTTTTCTTCGCAAACGGTTGATGTAGATTTACAGAAGCACCTGCGCCATTGCAAACGATTTTGAGCCATGTCATTCAAGGTCTCTAACCATCGGTTGCTATGATCTCGCGCATCCCAACATGCAAGCATATTCGGGATGCGATTCAATTAAAGGTTTGTCGTAGTCCATAAAGCTCAGTAATTATGTTTCAGAATATGAAACTGCATTGCATCGGTTAGAATTTACTAGAGAGCTTCAGTTATTCCAAGATTTTGATACACTTATTTACGAGTGGCAGTCGAAGTGGAACCTAAGTCATACAGAGTTTCCGATTGATTAATGCCAACCGTCTGGCATCGAAATATTGTCCACACAATGTCGAGTTGTAATTTCACAAGTTATCCACATAAACCATAAACGTCCACACATACTATGTGCCTATCTTTTTGGAAAGTGTTTAAGATATGAGACAAGTGTTTAACAGTCAAATATAAATTGAAATATGATTGGTTATTTTCTATACACTCTTAAAAGCAATTTCAATTCGGTTTGACTAATATATAGGGACAACATGATCGTGAAAAATCTCAACCAATTATTCGGTTGAAAATAAAGTAAGAAATATTGTTAGGAATTCGGGTTACTATTCAGAATAACAAAGTATGTTTGCATTTCTTATTACAAAATGATGTTAGCTATAATTCACGAACTTTTTAGCCATTTGGATAGATTCATTTTGTGCACAAATTGCTAAGGCGTTACGTCAAACCTTATTGTTTCTTCCATTTAATGTAGTTCCGTCTTAAACTCGTACGTGTATGAATGTCTATAAATATGTTGACGATCATTGTGCATTAGATCTAGATGTTACATTTTTGCTCAAGAGCAAGCATATCATTACTAAAGAGTCACGTAGTTTGATGACGACATTATAACTTGATTGATAGAATTACATCACCAATGAGGACTAGATAGTATGTGAAATCAGTCACTCTTTAGTAATTTATCATTGAAAGGGGGATATTTTTAAATTTCATAACAATGAATGTTTACTCACTTATTTATTCCTGTGACTTCTCTTCGAAGAGCATAGGCCTCCCATAAGTATTTTCCATCCAACCCTGTAGGTCCTGGGCAGTCCTTTTCTGAGGTATACCATAGTGCCAAAGAAGGTTCCATAATGTTTTCGTATCCATGCTATCAATCGCTTCCTCATAGTCAAGGAAGTTGATATATGGTGATGAATCCCATCCAACTGATTGCTTAATAATGATTCGTAGTGTCGCGATTCAATGTGTACGCAAACAATCCTCATGATGTACGACTTGATGATCTCGAAGCTGGTTGTCTATTGAATTTTTCATCCCACTCAGCAACAATGGTTATAGGATACATTTACTATGCATTTTTCTGCAAAAATTCGATCATTTCAAATAATATTTGCACAGCTGTTAAGCAAATGGAATGCCTTTATATTATAAAAAAAAACAAAGTCCATAACATGACATTTTCCCCCTCATTGATTGAAGCAAACAATTGTTTATAAAGTTTAAAATGAACATAAATATACAATTTTTCTTTGTTTTATAGAAGAAAACATTAATTTATTTCCATAAGTTTATACTATAAGCAAAAACTTGATTCTGAATACATAAGATTAGTGTAACTCCTCGTTATGACGTAATATCACTAGTTATAGTGTTGTAGAAAAATTTTGTTTTAATTTATACTATTCGGCAATTTCAAGATTTAGTCGAGGTATCTAAGTGGTTATTGTTTCCTGATTGCTCACACAATGTAACGATAAGGCCCCCAAATGCCTGATACGGCGGAGAGTGGGGAGAGTCCGCCCTCCCTCTACAAATGCTCTCACATGGCCATACGTATATAGCCTCTACTAGGGAAGTCCTACTCACCGCCTTCTCGCACCAAGGGTGTTGTTTACGAAGTTGAGAGGACGAAAAGTGAATGTCCGTTGCTTTAACCGGGTTGGTGGACACAGAGAGTCCATCTAGGGGAGTTGGAAAGCCTGATTTCAAACCAATAGTGCACATGCTCCAGAATCCTGAAGGAACAAACTGCGTATGAACCAATTATTGGGACTGCATCTCCTTACGATGCTCCACTGGCTTGTGGATCAGACCTTCAGGTCGAAGGCTCCGGGTGTGACCCTCTAAGAAAACCACCTGCTTCGGTTTGGGTATCCGGGCAGTATCACAGCCCTCACACATATCAAATGAGATCTGTGTGGCGCATATGTATTTGGTGCCTCCTTTTACTAATATCAATGTGTTAAAATACAAAAATAAAAGGTAAGGATACTTCATCAGGCATCTGGGAAATAAACTGGGTTGGGTCTAGTCTTAATGACTTGGTAATGTTACAGTTTAGCCTAAAGAACATCTTCATTTCGTTCACGCACAGGTTTTTTGTAATAGTTTTAACCCCCATACTTTCCAGATAAGAATCCGTGGACCAAGACATTTTCAGAGTCAACTTAATTTAACCCTTCGTGTTTTCGTTGAGAGAAAGCAATATCTCTGGTTATGCTGGTTTTCTTGATGAAACATATCACTCTATTTCAATTTAGCTGACAGTATAGGTTCGCTGTTGTATCTCATGACTGTTGCTTTCAGTATTATCGTTCTCCAATCAACCTATCTATCATGCGATTATCTAAAGGATCGAGTTTTCCAGACGCTATTCACTTCATCGGGTCATTTCGGTTTGGATTCCCCACTACCACGTTTAGGTAGCAGCTACAGTCAGGTGTATGTACTTAACTTCCAGCCACAGTGTTTGTGTATGTGTGTGTGTTGTACAGAGATGTCACCAACTTGTTCCTAACGAATTAAGTATAGTAGGAGTTTCAAACTCTCAACCTCATGTGTAAACATCGAATGTTTTAATCAGTAAATCATCACTTCATCGATATTAAGTTTTTGTTATGATGATTTAGCTTGAATAACATCACTTGAATGATTGGTTCAATCGTAATAATAATTTGTTCACAGAAACATCGACCTATTGAAGCTACTCTTATATAACAACATATTAAAATAATTAGATCACAAAAAACCACTATTCCTTAGCGGTTCTAATTTTTAGCTATTTTTGTGATACGATTATTTAATTTTGTATGTAATGTCGGTAAACCAGACAAGAATGATCATACCTATTGAAGGTCCTGATTGGCCTACGATACTTGCGAATTAAGGAAACTATGGAGCTATTCGAATATGGATAGTCATGTTGGATATTCGGTAACTCCAAAATTTGTCTTTTAACGCAGAAAGAAGACAAACGTTATTTTGAGGGAAGCTGCATATTTGTTATGGCTCGAGATTCTAATTGATATCATGTACAATCTTCGCAGTCGAACCATTGACTTATTTCGCAAATTTACTAACTGGTCATTGAATAGCAATCATGGTTCTAACGCTTATTGACCCTTGAGTTCTTTCTAACCCAGCAAACTAATTTTCTGTTGTACTAAATTCGATCGCAACTCAAGACTTTTACTGAAAATACTAGAACACATAACATATCCAATAGGAAATCACACTTTATAATCAACGAAGTCATAGATGGTGTAGGGCGGAAGAGACTGTTCATAATTAATCGGCGATAATTAGGGAATATAAAACCTGTAACGATAGTCAATCAATTCACTGAAAGCTTACAATAATGGAAACGTGTATATATAACTTTATAGTTATTTATAAATAGTGCAATAGGGATATGCATAATAAGAATAATTGGAAAATAGCTCCTACAGTTTCAACTTTCTCAATATTCGTCCTGTTATAACAAAGTGTAGGTAAGACTTGATTTAATTATTGAATTCATGAATCAATTCAAGCTAGACCACCATGGAAAACGTAGAAGCACTGGATGACCTTGATATTTAAGCAGAACAGGTTTAAATGGTTCAAATCACTAATATGTAGTTACGAAAGCATAACCTTCAATCGTACAGTAAATTAACGAACTAAAAGAGATGGCAATCTATCAAGATCTATCAACCTGCTTCGGTTTAGGCACCCAAGCAGTATCACAGCCCTCACACATATCAAATGAGATCTTTGTGACGCATATGTATTTGGTGCCTCCTTGTACCAATATCTATGTGTTAAAATAAATAAAGCAATCTATCAAAAAAGATCCTGAGAAAAATTCTATTTGTGTAAAAGACATTCGTGTTTACCTTTAGGATTATGAATAATAAAGGTTGAGCAGTTCTGTGATAGGCTTAGGACTATTGTCTGCAGTTGTTTTGTTATTTACCGTAACTAGGTATATCTTTTTTTTCACAAGAGGGTTTGATGTTTGTGAAATAGGATATGCGATCTCATTTTAGCCGGGGACCAACAATTGGTTTATACTTCATTCGCCAGACATTCGTTTTTTGTGTTGTCAATTTCGTAAACAACAGTAATGCTACGAGAAGGCAATGAGTAGGACTTCGGTGGCAGTGGCTGTATCCACGTATTCATATCACAGCATTGAACCCACAACTGTACCAGGGCATTTGAGGGCGACTATATACATAGTTGAAATGATTTTAATTGGTGGTTGAAAGTAGTCTGTAGAAACCTTATTTAATCGAGGATTCATGTTATTTGCGTAATATCAACAAAGCATATCTATAGTCTCGACAGGAACTGATGTTTCTCGCGAGATTACTCTGTATGTCATCCAGTGTTGTTTAGATTATTCACTCAATTTCAATGTTTTTTCTTGTTTATTTATGTGTTTAGGTGTTTTACACTCGTCCAAGTATTCGTCAACCAATATTTGATTCATGGTTTAATACTGCTGTAATATATCATGATAATTATCCGAATTTCAGTGAACAAGTATGTTTATTATGTTCGTGTATGTGTGTATATAGTTTCTATGGATGATTCCGGTTTTTTATGATAGTTGGGTTTTTATAAAGTTTATCACGTGTATTTGTGTGTGTTGTTGTTGGGTAATTCGCTATTTTTACAATTGTATACTTAAATCAATTAATGTTAATCGAATTAATAATTTCACTAAAAGTATGATCAACATTTCAGACTGTAGGTAGTCGTTACAGACTTTGTGGTTAGTTTTTCTGATGTTGGCTGTAGCCCCAGTGGGGCTCCAGGCGAACAAATCTATAATAATTATTCAACTTGGTTCTTATCGTCCTATCACATCTATACAACACTAAACAAGAAAACAATGAATGCATCATTGCAATTAGTTACAGGTCCATAAAGCCATAATTTTTCAAATTAATGACGACTATTGATGATAATATTGTATTTGTATAAACTGAAGTAGGTAGACTGAAGGTCAAAACAACTCTCAGTTCAATAAATTAAAATCGTTTCTTTGTGTTTGCTGCACTCAAATATCATTCAGTAAATCACTAACTCTAATCTGATTCTATCTCTCGAATTTAATGCCCTATTTATTTCAATCCACTCTCAGACAACAAAATTGGTTCATATTTTAGTTCATGGTTGATAAGTTGGGTAGCTTTTGACCTATTTGTATAGTCATCAATGATCTTGATATTTGGGAAATATCAAATCAAGTAATGAATTTCTCATTATAAAAGGTTAACTAAACAAAAGTAATAAAATAACCAGTGGAACTTATCCATGTCAAGTAGAGACAGATATCTACCTCAGTACAATGAAAGATGGTCTCACAATTTCGTGGATTGGTTGAGGTTAGAAATTAACATCGTTGGATGCCGGCTCACTGGTCCAGAGGTTAAGCGTGGACGCGAGACCGAAGGCTCTGCGTTCGAGTGTGACGTGCGAGATTGTGGATGCACTTTGCTGAGGAGTCCAATACTAGGATCTTAATCAAAAACTTAAGAATCTCCACAACCCAATGCTGATAATAACATTGTTTGTTGGTGAATATATATAAAGTGAAAACAAATGAGCTTGGGATTATTGATAGGAAATTGTCGCAGAAATATAGAGCATGAATCTTATGTAAACTATACTGTCTAATTGCTTTAAGTATTCTTGTCCGAAATCAGTTATCTTTCCTTAGCTTTAAAACTTATGATCTAAACAGCTCAGTGGTAATATTTCTGACTATGGGACGTTCTGATACTAGTTTGACTCTCATGAAGAGTGAGAGAATCAGATCTCAACGACTAATAGTTGTTATATCAACATCTTGGTTTTATTTGTATTGCTGCCTTCCCAATTGCCGGCAGTTTGTTGAATAAAAATCATTGTAATTTCAACCAGGAAACTGCGTGTTTAGATACTGTTTAGGTTTCAACAACTAGGTAGTACTTTGATGCCCCCCCCCAAATGCCCTGGTACGGCCGAGGGTGGGAAGAGTCCGCCCTCTTTCGAGAAAGGTTCTCACATAGCTAAGTGTATACAGCCGCTGCCAGGGAAGTCCTACTCACTACCTTCTCACGACATTACTGTTGTTTACAAAACTGACAACACGAAAAGCGAATGTTCGTCGCTTTAACCAGGTTGGTGGACAAGGAGAGTCCACCTAGGGAAATCGGATTGATTCCAAACTAATGGTGCACATGGGCTACAGAATCCTAAGGGAACAAATGGCGTATGAACCTACTGTTGGTCAGCGGCTACTATGAGACTGCATCTCCTAACGTTGCCCCACTGATTTGTAGATCGGACCTTCAGGCCGAAGGCTGGGGATTAGCCCCCTAAGAAAACCATCTTCTTCGGTTTGGGCACCCGGGCAGCATAGCAGTCTACACACAAATGCAGTGACTTGCGTGGTGCATATCTATTCCTTGCCCTTCGTTCCAGTATTTATGTGTTCAAATAAATAATCGTACTCTGACATAATTAGACATTAGTTAAAGCCAAATACATAAACCATTTCTAAGTTACGGCGATATGTATTTTAAAAATCGTTTTAATTGAAATTTGTCCAAACCAGTTAGCCTGGTAAACTTATTTAATGTAGCTGTCAGTAATTTGGCTTATCATATGAGAGCTGTTCAAAAGTCTGAATATGAAAAAGATTTGTCGAAATTTTATGACGAAAGTCGAACATAATCAACATTGTTTTACAAACCAGAATATATATTTGTCCATCCAGTTGAAACCCAGTTGTTGCTGCTACTATGACGAGGTGGTCGGGCTTGCCTATTGTAATGAAACAATCGATTTATACTGGCTGGAACAATCGTTCCTCAAGGTCCTACCATAGCAGACAGGTCGGTTGAGAAGTAGTAGTAAAACTAAGAGCAGCAAGCCCATGGTTGGAGAGCGAAGTCGTACTTCTGACTGTATAGAGGTGTGAAGGCAGTAAGGTGTTTCTTTCAGACAACCAGCATTACAGAGATGTTTGCTTTCCCACAAGGAGGGGGATGGGGTTGGAAAGAAAAATCTTCCTAGTCAATAGATCATATATCCGTTAGGTGGAAGTTCATATTGTAAATCTATGTTAAACACGCTTTCGTTTACTGACATTCAAGTCCATTCTGTGTTTTTTTTTCAGATTACTTACTAATATTAACAATAGTTGTTCACTGTTGTTGCTTCGAATCATTTTCACATTCTCTTCATCATCATTGTTTTTTTTCTCTTTTTTTTATTTCCTTAGGCTAAAATCTGTTTACCATTAAATCTAACTTCAAAACATCATTTACTATTTCGTTTTTATCATGTAAGCTGTGAGACGGCTTCAACAAATTTATTAACTTCCAAAGAGAAATCTAATAGTAATAATAATAATAATAATAATAGTAATAATAAAAAACCTGTTGAATCAAGTACAGGCTATTCATGGATTCCAATACTTGGAACAGATGGAAAGTAAGTTATTTTTCAAAACCTGTTTAATGAACTAACATCAGTTTGTGTATAGATATGATTGAAAACTGAAGAATAATTGACAGCTATTACATTCTATCTTGAGGACTGTCGATGTCGCACACACACACACACACATAACCACCACACTGACCCCATAGTTTTCAAACAATGTGGTGTGAATAAATTTTTCACAATTTAAGTAAACTGTTGATTAAGCACAAAGTTATTAAGTCAATTCGATTTTAGCCGGCTTTTCAGGTCATTGATTCATTCTAGACTTGAGATATCTATTTTCAATGTTAGTAATTAACATATAGCTATTATTTACTTCAGTAATAATAATGAGATATTGTGCATTTTGAAATCTTCCGTAGGAAAGCTGTCTGATGTGTTAAATTAAAGTTTATTTACTAGGAGCGACATATAAAACAATTGAGATGTCGATTATATGTTTAAATATAATTGGTTCTTTAGACCCTTATGAACCATGGAATCTATCATCAATATAAGTATTAATCACGAAATGTGACACCGACGTATTCCAGAAAGTCATAGTATTCTCATCAAACACAACTAGGTCCTCAATCATCGACACAGATCACCTACGTGGTGATTTACAAACTGTTGATTTACTGAAGCTCCATTCCAATTATTACCAATATTGAAATGAACAATATGTGAATAAAGTACAGATTCATTTTTACTGTTGTTACCGATGAATAACGGTTAGTTTCTTATGCTTGACATCGTTCAATGAATACTGTATCTAACTGATTGATGATTATAAACTTCTAGTCTCCCTAATTTTCATTACATACTTACACATTGGATTTGTCTACCTTTTTTTCCCATCTTCTACTCTGTCTACCTTCTATCTATCAGTTTAAATGTTGGCACGTTTCAACTTCGTATTGCATCAACTATTCATCCGGGTTATTTACAACAATCAACTATACAAGTAATTCACCTTTTCATTTATCCTATTTATTTGTGTATATTATTGATCGTGATGGTAATGATAGAATACACTCAGTCAGCTATAAGCAACTTAAAAATATAGCATATATATGCTTTGAGTTTAAGTTGCTACACTATATAAGCCTTAGAGAATTGAAATGCATATCTGGAATATTTTATCTAGTTAATTAATGAAAACTGTAAAACTTTTAACTAAATAAATACGTATAACAACAAATTAAGTTGAAGTCTTATTGTGATGTATGCTACTGATGTAAATAGATATAAGTAGTGTGTATCTTCAATAAAAAGTGAAGTACCTAACAGTAGAAGATTAAGAAAATCGAAGAAAAAGAGAACGAGAACAGGTAATGATTGGTGTGGAAATGAAAACAATTTGACGATTTGATTGACATTTTGCAAATGAAGTATTTAATGTATGATTCTCAGATTTTACTAAGATGTTCTGCATTGTTGTATTAAAATTTATTCTATTGTCTCCACTTGTATTCTCCTTCACTGCATTATGATCGGTCTACTTCAAAGCTTCTGATCAGCTTCAAATGACCTAAATATAACATTTATAGTATTATTTCGATAGAACAATGAGAAGACGGAGTTGATCTAAAACATATGATGTATTTGCGCTATCCATTTCAAACAGTCTGATCACACATATACTTATCAAGGCATTTTGTATGAAAATTGATAAAGGTCAATTGAATGAAGTTTCAAGTAAACAAAGTGATAATTATCGGTATGGGGATTTATGGAGATTGTAGTATTTTCACAGTTGAAATCATGAGCCGATCTAAGCTAGACGGCCATTGAAAACGTGATTCGAGCTTCGCGTGCTAGATTGTGGATGCTTACTGTTGAGGAGTCCCATACTACGACGAAACATTCGTCCAGTACTTGCAGGTTTACAATGGTAGTTTATCTTAGATCAAATTGTAATTTCGGCTGTGAAGTTAAGTAGTAATTGTAAATAAAGGAAAGAGAAAAAAACATTACCCCAGGCCATTAAATTCCATAAGGTTTACCAGGGCAAATTCAAGGATGTGACAAATCGTTTCCGTACAAAATTAAGGGGGTTCGAATTTACAAATAACCAAGGATTCTATAAACCTAAGCATTTGTTCTTGACTATTTCTATATAACGTTGTCAAAGCTGTATTGATTTTATTTCTGTGCCGTGTTTCAATTATGTTCTTTGCTATCGATGAACATGGTTTTCCACTTCCTATGTTTTAACAAGAGAAAATAGCATATTTAACATAATAGTTCAAATTGACTAGTATTTCATATGTTGCTTTCATAAGATGTAAATTCATATATATATATATATATATATATATATATATATATATATATATATATATATATATATATACTTGAAGGTGACCTCAAAAGGATATAGATCCACTTATGATTGATTTAAAGAATATCTGATGTTATATACACTGAAAATAGTTGGACTGCAGGGAAGCTTCTCGTTTTAACACTGTTTCCACCCTTTTGTCGATTCTATGTGAAACCTCCTCACCTTTAAGTACCAAACGAATAAAGACTGGTTTACTGTTAACAGTTGTTTGTTTTGGACTTTTAGTAGTCATTTTTCTATACTTCATAATAAGTTTCTTTGTATATCCATCTTTCATAAAGTTTTTTTCGATGCTTGTTATTTTTTCCTTGATATGTTGTTTCCTCTTGTTACTGAAGTCGTTGATTATAGTATGTAATAAAATCCTTTTGTAATAATATTACTGTAAGATCCAGGCTGTATGTAGCTGATGAGAAGCCTTAAAATATACTAATTTTGTCTTAAATTATAACTGAATAGCTTGAAATTTCCAATAATCTACTCAGCTATCTGGGAATTATAAGCAGTGATAGGTGAGGGCTGGTAGTGGAATCCAGAACGTATATTTCGTTCTATTTGGGGCTCGTCATCTGGATGTAACTGCATCTCAGAGTTGATGTTCATTCCGGGACTCGAAGCTAGTACTGTTCTGTTTAAACGCCTTCGCGTTATCCACTTAGCTACTGAGTCCTCATAGCTACAAGCTTGTGCAATAGAGTGAAGTTTTAATTCATTTTTGTATTGGTTGTCAGAATATTCCCATTGATGTTTAGGACTGCAATCGATCAGTCTCATGCAGTTAACGAGTCTTAAAATCGTGTGATTATTGTGTTACCTATATACTTATAAGTGGAAAACTCTGTGATGCTTATTAATGCTCCTGTGTTTGTGACTACTCATCAATGTAAATCATTAGTGTATATAATATTTGATTTGTAACTGATATTGAAGTCTAGGATGCATGTTTCGTTCTATTTGGATCTTGTCAGCTGAGTATACCTGCATCCCACTGTTGTGTTAACGATAGGACTTAAACTCAATGCCCTCACATTTGGGATTGCGAGAGGCGTTATTTCTAGATAATGTCATACTGTTGTAAATTCCCTATTTGGTTAACTTGTTCATCCAAACGTTATTGAGTGAAAAGACTATGTTCCTGATTAGCTGCCTTATTCCAGAAACAAATAGGGTTGTGAATTAATTGTGTGCCATTAAAACACTGTCAGGGTGGTCAACGTCTAAGGGGACGTGTACTATCATGAGCTCCCATGGAGATATAGAAAAGATGATAATGGACCTATTTAATAATAACTTCGAGGATACTAATCCAGAAGGAAGCTGATTATCGATAGATGTCATTGTGATTAATTCTCTAGAATATTCATGTGTTTACAGCGATGGTTATTCCTCTTTACGCCTTTGGCGGATTGAAAGGAGATGGCTGTCCGGTAATTATGATGGCGCACTCATAGGCCTAGATAATATGAACGGAAGGTCTCTGTGTGAAGTATAAAGAGGTAATAGAAAGCGCATTAAGAAAAAGTATTTCGAGAAAGCCACTGCAGAAATACCTTTAAGGTAGTACTTGCCACACTACTCAGTTATAGACTTGAGGAAACTACTTTTATATATATGTAACGAAGAATTCCGAGTAGTTAGCTATCAACATGACTAGGTTACTAAAATCCGGAACCAGGTGCAACACTTATCAGAGGTCTTCTGGAAAGAATGAGTCAAGGAGTATGTAGCTATTCTTTAAATACGAGATAACTAGTTTACTCAGTGTAGAAAATTTCAGAATGCAGATCTAGTACTCGTCGTCAACAGATTAATGTCTAATGAATAGGCACTTTCCATTATTCCTAATGTTCACGTTAGCGAAAACAGACTTGTAAAAACAATGAGTGTGCAAACAAAAAACACGACTTTGTTGTTAGGGGTTTACGAAGATTTTGTTTACCTGAGCGTACAGACAAATGACCTGGGGAAAGTCGAAAATCAAACAAATTTCCTACCTAGCAGTTAGTCTTTATTCATGATGCAAGTAGAACGTTGTTCAATCAATCAGGTACTCCATTAATGTATGTTTAGTTCAAGCTAATATACATCTTCAAATAAATAACTAATATCACCTATTTTCACATAGGCATGTACAGATAATATATCTAAAAGTCAAGTACTTAAACTTGTACTTGATTACTGAGTAGCATTAACTAACCAGTGCTTCCAGGTTCTCAATGGTGGTCTAACACCAATCGGTTCATGATCTCATTCAAAGACTTAACAATCTCTAGAACCCTTAGACTAATAATTACCATGTGCTCACTAGTAACTAGCTTCGTGAGAAAATTCTCGGAGTTCTAGTAAGAGGCCGTGACTAGTGGAGCTAATCCATGTCAGGTAGAGACAGGTATCTACCTCAGTACGATGGAAGATGGTCGCACAATTTCGTGGATTGGTTGGGGTTAGACATTAACATCATTGGATGCCGGCTCACTGGTCCAGAGGTTAAGCGTGGACGCGAGACCGAAGGCTCTGGGTTCGAATCCCACGGGCAGGACCGTGGATACGCACTGCCGAGGAGTCCCACAATAGAACGAAACGGCCGTCCAGTGCTTCCAGGTTTTCATTGGTCGTCTAACATCAATCGGTTCATGATCTCAATCAAAATAGGTATATTCTTCCTCATTTTTTGTCTATAATAGTTAAAGTTATTTTTGTGAAAATGATATATTCACTACCATTCATTGTAATAATCGATTGTGTATTACGTCAAAAAATCTATTTTTCAATCAAATCAACATTTTCCACTGAAAATTGTTGTTATGGTAACAGTAGGTTGAAAAAGTTTTATCCAATTATTTAGTGTATATCACTTTTTTTACTAATATTCGACAACTACTGAGAGTGAGGAATTCGCTGGATGCGAGGTCATAAAGCTATTCACTGTCGAGGAATCCTAGACTGGAAAAAAAAACAAGATCCAGCTATGTAAACTACAAATTTAACAATCTTGAGAGTATACAGTTTTCGTCATGTTTATTATTTGTATGGTAAAAAAAATGATCAGATTTTATTGAAATGAAGCACTGGTTCAATGTTTTGAAATAACATTACACTTATCCGAGTAGTAGTCACAATCATGTTTGTGTATGTTTTTATTGATGATTGGATTCTATGGTGTTGGGAATGGTTGGAAGAACGTTAGGGGCGGCCAAACCAAAACGTGGCATCAGTGCTTGAAGTCACTAACTTCTAGTCTGAGCCATGTTGGTAGATACAGACTACTTGGTTGAGGTCCGTGCGACTATCGTAACCAATGGTTGGAGACTCTTAGTGAAATGGCTCAGAATCTATCACAATGGCGTCGGTGTATACACTCTCTGTCTTCCCTTAAACTACGAGACTAAAATTATTTTATATCTTTCTTTCTACGAACTAATTCTTTCTTCCTGTACTATATCCTTATTGCAATCTTTCTTTTATATATTACCACCTCTGAATTAACTACTTTTATGAATCCGGTGTCCATCTATCTTGTTGTGTTAATGAGGTATGGCAACTTGGACCGATGCATATATGTGCCTGGCCCCTACGTTGTAGCTGACTGACTGACTGGATTCTATGGATCATGATTGTATTTTGTAACTTTATCAACAGAGTTAAGTGATTAATAAAGAAGCTGGAGAAATAAAAACAGCAGTTACTATTCATAGATTCATCAGTTTTAAAAGTATCAGTTCTACAGGAGGTCAGTCAAGGACAATTATTCAATAGTCCCGTGCGTTTCACTGTCCAGCCAGTGAGTAACAACATAGAACTTCGTACGTACGTGCATCCGTGGAAGTTGCCATATCATATTAGCACACAGATAGAATTGTCGATCCAAATTCCGTAGTGGTAGATGTAGTAAGAGTATAAGCAGTAATCGGAAAGATTCGAGTTTGAAGGTGTTATTCAAGGAGTATAATCCAATGAAATAAATTTGGAAAGAGAAAAAAAGGGACATGAAGAATTCAGAAGATTAGAATTTGGTAGAACACAAAGAGTGGATGGATTTGCGCCATTTCAAACGATTTTGAGCCATATTATTCTAACCATCGGTTTCTATCACCTCTCAGATCCTAACCAGATAGTTTACACCTCCTAACATGGCTCAGTTAACTTGTCAGTAGTGACTTCATGAATTTGTGCCATGTTTTGGTCTAGCCAGTCACTATCATTGTTTTTTATTTGAGAATGTTTTATTCAATACTCATATTTAATAGTTTCAGGTTGTTCTTTTTACGGTAATCGTTTTGTTTTGAATTTCTTTAGAACTTTCGTCATTCAAATCTAAATGACACTAATGGTGGAATTAGCTTGCCATTCAATATCGGCAATACAAACTCTACGAATAGTAATAATAATAATAGTGGTAATTCCAATGATTTCACTTGGATCGATAATGGGAAATATTTATTTAAAGTTGATCTGAAACCTTTATCATCTATATATACACATGATCCAATATTGTCAAAATTCTTTCGTGTTTGTAGTGATCTACTACCACGAATGTTGTACTTATCATCTACGAAAACAAATAATGCAGATAAACAGAAGGTATTTTAATTTATTTGTTTCCAGGGATATTTTCAACTGTTTCTAGTTAAATTGATTCCTTATAGTGTAATTTTCTATTCTATATTAGGCTTTTTTGTTTCTCACCGTTGAAATTTAATCGATCTAACTTATGTAGCAATCATATTGTTTTTGTGGTGGTTAGAAATATTTATTACTTAGTTTCCCAAACCGCATCAATTTTAGTCAGTTTCGAACCTTTAACTTACTGTTGGACGTTGAATGTTTTAATCACAACGCTATTGTTCATCGTCTCTCTCTTTTTGGGAAATATCGTTACCTTGCGGGTTAATTTCATTCTGTCGATATTATATATTTTAATATAGGAGTAATTTATATTTGGTGACCCTGAGTTTAGTATATTGATTTAATTATCATTGGTAAAGAATAATACTTCCCCATTGTTAATATTCAAGACTCCCTTAGATGTCTGCATTGTTTCGTATTTGGGACCTTGGACGAACATTTTTATATTAGCTACTGTAGCTAGTTGATTATATTTTGAATAATGTAAACCAAGATAAGTATTTCGTTCAGTTTCGGACTCATCATTTGGACATACCTGCATCTCTTGTGTGATGCACCAGCAATGTTCGTGCTTAGTGAAACCGATTGGCTCTTCTGGTAAGAAGAATACATTTAATGCCGTACAAACCCACCGTGCAGGTGTTTTCCCCTGGGGAAGTCGTTGGAAACTGTTGGGACGGATTCTGAGAATTAAAATGGAGCCTCCAGAAGCCGTAAAGGAGCCGAAGAGTTTCCATCCAATCAGAACTTGATGGAGCTTTCTAGAATATCAACGTGACATACTACGATTGAACAGTAGCATAACTTTCCTCTTCGCGGATTGGCTGAATTATAATGATGTTATAACTAACGCTAATATCTATAAATACCTATGATTCTGCGTACATTTTGGGTTTTACCTAACAAGCACTTCTCGAGCTTTCTTCTGGTTTTGCGACTGTGGGGTTCTATGCGTTCGAATGCCTATGGTATGCATATGGTATTCAGTGTTAATCAAGTAACAAACATAACAGAAACCACCTAGGTGTTGGCTCTCAGGCATCTCACCAGGGGAAAGTGTAATCTACATGTGTAGCGATAACACAAGTTTACACCCACGGATCCCTTGGCATACACATAGGTATATTTATTTATCTGGGAGCGTAGATGGTCTCTGATTTTATTAGATACTAGGTAGAGACTTTTCAGAAGGAGTTCCAGGTCGGATTTTGCTGCCAAAAAATACCAACGATGCACGGTATTCTCACCCGGTCACCCATGGAAGTACTGATCATGCCCAACTTCGATAATCGGAGGAGAACCGGTGTTTTCAACGT